CAACATAAATTTAACACGAGAAAATTTTCGTGCGATGACTTTCGATGTCATTTAAGTCAACAAGAAAGTTATGAAAGACTACGATTGGCCCATAAAACAGATAATAAAGTATTTTCTATTCCGTGGATTGGCCTTTCACGATGAAGCCACATCTCGTGCGACTGTTTACTAGTATATGCTATGCGTGATAAATTAGGTACCTACGTAGGTGGTAAACTAGGAGCGTTGACTAATAATTAGCTTTTCAATCGTCGTTATTCGAGACACAACAAGGGTGCGAACGCCGGCGTTCCCTTGGGGCATTTGATGAATCTCCACTAATATTATAAAGAGGTAAAATTAGTAGGTTTGTATGTTTGTAAGTTTGTAAGTTTATATGTAGAGGGTACCTAATCTTTGATACCGCTGGTTGGATTGCCAAAATTCTTTCAATGATAGATAGCTACAATGTTCCTGAGTGCTATAGGCTATAAAACATAACGCTACGATTAAATGGACCCGAGCAGCGTGTGAAACCGCGCGAGAGTAGCTAGTTAATTATATTATTATTACTCTCCCGTCGCTATACCTACGTATTATAATAACGGACTTTTTACAAGGCTGTATATAGGTACTTGCCTTTCATAATTTTCTTGCCCGAATTCCTCCTATTGTGGCTGCAAAACTTCATTGGAACGATTTTAGCTTCCACATCTGAAAAATAAATGTTTTACACCATCTTATTTTCTCTTATTAATCTTTTCCCATCGAGATCTAAACCGATTTCTTTTTTAAGAGGTTCAAATCATCCTATGATTTTTTTTTTTATGTAATAGGTCGGCAAACGAGCAGACGAATTACCTGATGGTAAGCAATCAGCGCCGCCCATGGACACCCGCAACGGAGGAGTTACGAGTGCGTTCCGACCTTTTAGGGATTAGAGATTTGGAGATTTAGGGATTGAGGGGGGATTGGGGGCGGGGAAAGATTGGGCCTCCGGTAACCTCACTAACGTGGTTGTTTCACGCACCGGCTTGTGCACCGCGGCCTAGAGCAGGAGAAGGAATGGGGTAGTTTTAGTCAGTAAGAGTCTGTGAGTCTCACTCGCGGATGGGTGATCATAGGAAAAAAATAAATCAAGTGTGGGAGAGCCAAGCATCGGCACGAATGGGTCGGCTCGACCGGAATGATACCACGGCCTCACAGAACACCGGCGTGAAACAACTCACAGCGTTATGTTTCGCCGTGTGAGTGAGGTTATCGGAGGCCCAATGCCTCCCCTTCCCCTATCCCTTCCCAATCCTTATATCCGCAACCCCCATCCCCAAAAGGCCGGCAACGCACTCGTAACTCCTTTGGTGTTGCGGGTGTCCATGGGCGGCGCCGATTGCTTACCATCAGGTTATCCGTCTGCTCGTTTGTCGACTTATACCATAAAAAAAAAAGCTAGCGCCCATGATATCTTTTTACATGTGGTAAGCATTCGGGGCGTCGCAACACCAAAGTAATTAGGTTGTCAATATATTTCTGTGTCGCGACGCACTGCAACGCCTGATTTCGTAAAGACAGCAAGTGAGACGACACACCAGCGTACCTATAATCATAGTAAACGTAGTATTAAATCGTTATGCTTCTGGCGCGACACGACACGGTAGTATATTTTAACGTTTGACGCACGAGTGTTGCCAGCCTTTTGGATTTATGGTGTTTTTTTCAGCTCAAGGTAAGGCGAGAGAGTGTCAGACTCTTACTGACTAAAAACAGCCCCGTTTCTTCTCCTACTCTAGGCTGAGGTCGCGGTGCCTTATTTTGGATATTTGTGGATGGGATGAAAAATTGGGCTTATTAGCATCAGCAGTGCCGGTGTTAGGGGGAGGGGGGCTTAATGGGGCGATGGCCCAGGGCGGAAAATTCTGGGGGGCGCCCAGGTCTGAAGTTGGAGTCTCTTGCCTCTCCTGGTGCAAACCCTCAGAATTGTGCTCAATGCTCTGGGCATATGCATATTTTTTATTCACATATTTTTTGTAATTTTACTTGCATCAGCAAAAATATAACACTTGATATTGCTTCCCTCAAGTGGGCGCCTCAATATTTTCGCCAGGGGTGTCAGTGACCCCTACGCCGGCACTGAGCACTAGTTTTAACTGTGAGAGAGCCATACTTCAGCACGAATAGGTCGGCTCGACCGAGTGATACCACGGCTTCACAGAAAACCGGCGTGAAACAAACACAGCGTTGTGTTTCGACATGTGAGTGAGGTTACCGGACGCCCAATCCTTCCCCGAATCCCAAAATCTCCAAAACCCTAATCCCCAAAAAGTCGGCAACGCATTCGAACTCCTCGGTTGTTTCGTGTGTCCATGGGCAGCGCTGATTGCTTTCCATCAAGTAAGACGTTTGCTCCTTTGCCGAAAGATCTAAAAAAAATGTTAGTTACTTACCGTCATGACATTTTAAATAATCAAGTTCGCATTTATTGACGACTATAATATGCACGTCAGAGCCCAAATCTTTTCGCTTCATTTTTACACATTCTGGCTCGTCCACGCTCGCACATTTGATCTTTCTGCATTTATCATCAAGTTTCGGTACAATCAACTTCCTGAGGAGCTTAGTCATTGCTTTTTCAGCTGTCATTGTGTTTATCACTGTGAACAAATTGGTTGTTAAATTGAAATCACACTAGTAAAGTATAAGGTTTAGGATTATTTCAAACCCTGTACTTATCTGTATTTAATTTTAATTTTACATTAAAATAAGTTCCTCAATTGACATTTAAAAAAAAATATAGGCGGGAAAATTGAATTTATGGTTGTGAGTAGCAGCTAGCAACACGGGTAGAAAAATGGCGGGATTTCGGATCTCACGGAACCGTACGGTTGTGATAGCGATAATTAATATTTTAAAATAAATAAATATTGATTGTGTACGGGAGGTCTTGTGTTTTCTTTGGAGTGGAGTCTTATAAAAGCAAAAAGTGAACAAAATTTTCTCGATTTTTAAGACTGGTTTTGTCAATAAATATTGCAAATTGTTTAAGAAGGACTCAGCGACACTGATTCTTTGGAGGAAAATGGCAAAATTACAAAGACATTCCGATAACCTTTTCTTTAGAAAAATTTAAGAAAAGGTTATCGGAATGTCATTATCATCAGCCGGTAGACGTCCACTGCTGAACAAAGGTCTCCGAAAAAAACATGAGAGATGTCAAAGGACACCCGAATGAAAAAAGAAGAAAGAAGAAATAAGCTCCTTATGAAGTTACCTCAGGAAGTTACCTATATTTTTTATGATAATTATTGAAAAGACGACGAAACGAAAATACTTGGAAAAGCCTTGTGTTTTCTATAAAAGAGAGAGAGAGAGAGAGAGAGAAAGAAAGAGAGAGAGAGAGAGCTACGTCACTGCTCATTGATTCGCAAAGCGCGGATGAGGCCATCATCGTCACGAGGATCATCAGCCTATAAGTGCCCACTGCTGAGCAAAGGCCTCTTCTCACACGGAGAAGGTTTGAATATTGATCACCACGCTTGCACTAGCTAGGTGGTTTGGCGATTTCAAGGAGAAGTTTGTGTTTCCTCACGATGTTTTTCTTCGTCTTATGACAGAGGTGTCTAAATAATCATAGAAAGTACATATAACTCGGAAAAGGTTACATTGGTAGTTGGCGGACGGAGTTAATGATGACATAAAGGAAATGATAACAATACAAAAAAAATTAAACTCACTTAAAAAAATAAAGAACAGGATGTACACTTTCATTTTAATTTCTTTTTTTTATTTAATTTAATGAAAACTACGCCATCTGCCACGGTACCATAACTTTGGTAAATTCAATTAAGTTTTTATTGTTATTTTATGATTTTTCGGAATAACCAAAGTCGGTGATGGATGAAATCAAATTAGAAATTAAGAAGTTACTTTTTAATTTTATAGGACGGCTAACGTGCAGACGGATTACCTGATGGTAAGCAATCAGCGCCGCCCATGAACACCAGCAACACCGGTAGGAGAGCGTTGCCTGCCTTTTAGGAGTAAGGAGTTTCGGTTATACTGGGACGGGGAAGGGTAAATTGGGCCTCTGGTCACCTCACTCACACGACGAAACACATCTCTGGCAACTCTTTTCTACTGTGGCAACATTATCGCAAGGACTGTCAAAGAGATCGTTAAAAAAGTATGTCAACTTTAAGAGAATACTACTAATTCGGTAGCTTTTGTAATGAAAGTCGTGATAAAAGTTATTGTAATCAAGATTAGTTGATAGTAAGCTAAAGTCCGGTCGCGGAGCAGGAAGAAATTCGTACAATGACCTCTTTACCTACTGACAGTAGTCACAAACATTTTTGTATAAAGTGCAGTTTATAATATTTGAAGGAGAAAAAAAATACTAGCTTATTAAATAAATTATTTCTTTATTGTTAATTTTAATAACAAAAGAGAAAGAGAACTAACAAAAGAGAACTAACAAATAACAACAAACTAAGATAACTGAGATTACTGTCCGAAAACTGAGCGATCACTAACGCAACGCATCCCGAGTTGGAATGTCGTTCGTTAAAAAATTATGAAATATGTCAATTAAGCCATGTCATGACTCAAGGCCAACCAAAAACCACAACCACAAACAAACAAAAACAGACCTTACAGTAGTAGTTTAAAGGTTCACAATCCCTGAGTGCCGCGGTCATTGGATTTGTGCGAGCGAGACGCATCATATTTACGCGAGAGTGACAGAGACAGGTAATAACAGGCCATTGTACGAATTTCTTCCTGCTCCGCGACCGGACTTTATCAACAGACTCATCTTGACCGAGGTGATACGCGAGCCTGCGTCGTGTCGTCAAGCAGCTGCTAGTTGCTCTCGTTGGCCACTAATTTTTACCAGACTTGATTAAGGTAATATTGTATTCACAATCATTTAGCATTAAGTTTTATCATATTTAACACAGCTATCAGTGATAAAACCCATACACCTATACCCAGAACTGAACACTAAAAAAGAGTAGAAATGTTCCAACAAAAAACTGACAACACCAATAAATGTCAACTTCGATTTGACATTATTATCAAAACATTGAAAATCCAAAAAAATATGGGTTAGGTTGGTCCAACTCGAACTTATAAGAAAGCTGTGTAAAAAAGTTCCTACTAGGCTATATTAAGTACATCAAAATGAATGAATATATCGGCTCGACTGTTGCAAAATTGGTAATATTTTTTGTACTTATTGTATAAGCTTTTCTATATAAATACTGTCCAACATTATTACACGAAAGTAAAGTTCTTCTCTGAGATTTGATTCGGGATTACTTACTTTAATATCCAAACGCGCGTAACACTAGTCTATAAGTATTTTTTTAACAGTAGCTAGATAATTATGTGAGTAATTCGAGTATTACATGGTTCATAGGCACAATAAGTGAATACCTTTGCTTGTTAGAAAGAAAAGAAAGAAAGAAAGAAAACATTTATTTCTGCGCAAGCGCACACACATACAAATCAAAAATACAAAAAAAAGAAGAAAAAAAACTATACCAATTATATAAACTAAATGATACAATAATTTAACTGTTAACTAAAATAAATTATTAACAAAAAGCACAAAAAATAAGGAGTAAGTAGTAAACTTTTATCTACTTTGTTCTTACAGAGTTGGGCTATTTATTCTGATAAAACTGTTTTTTTTTTATAATTTTAATATATATGTGTTATTGTAATCGCTCACAATTAAATTAACATTTGATTTATGCCTTTTTCATCATGTTTTATTACATTTTTTTATTAATTAAATTAAAATCACTAAGCTCATCATCGGTTATTGAAAAATTAACCTAATGTCTTTGAAAATAAAATCTATTTTAAAATATCTCAATCATAGACTTACTTTTATTTGTAATCTGTTGTTTTTGTCTATTCTTATCTTATAAGTTGTGTGTGGCAAAGGTCATAAGCTATTCAACCTTAAGATTCATTATTTTCATTATAATTATATTGTAATATAACACCAATAAATCACTTTATGAAGTAGGTCCATGTACCACACAGGTTGAGATGATGAATAAATAAAAAAATAATTAATAATTGTTTCCACTATTAAATCTGTTAAGGTATCTAAAAAAACATAACTATGCTTTCTCTCATTGCTTTAATTTCAAGTATAGTGTATTTATATTTTAAAATACTAAATACTTATACTTATTGTCTATGATTTTGTGTTCACAAAATAAAAAATAAATTGTTGTTATTTACAACAATAATTGTAGATAAAATTGATAAATAATTTTCAATATTTATACAACATTACAACAATTGAAAATTATTTATTGTTTAGCACCTCAATTTATTTCATAAACTCTATGTTATGTTGTGAATCTGTTGCACTAAATGCACTGAACCCAATCAGCCTTGATAATGAGACAAATTCAATACTTTTTTTATCTGTCTAAATTAATGATTTTATATGAATCTTGTAGAGGAGTTTGTGGCTACCGCAAATAGAGTAAAACCTATATTTTAAATAAGTATTTTATCCCCTTAGATAATGAATATTATTTATATTTTACCAATAATTACCTACTTTTTCTCATTCTTCCAACATGGAGACAGACTGTGGTACAATAAAACGATAAAAATAAAATGCAAAATAAACTACTAGAATTTTTTTTATTTTTTTTTTCTCTTTTATAAATATATAAATGTATTTCACTAAGTGCCCATTTCTTTTACATGCTATGACTACAGGGAAAAACTGCAAACTCAATATTTAATATAACTATTTTTATTTACAGAAAGCAAACAGTTTCAGCGGATTAACAATAGTAATTGGTAATGAAAGTTGCGACCTAGACACTGCAGTAAGCTCCCTAGTTTTCGCCAATTTTTTGTATTGGCAACACAATCAGCTAAAGTGTAAGGTCTGCACGAAAGAGTATAGAGATGGCTCTATGGAATATAAGGATGAGTTGTTTGTACCTGTTATAAATGTTGACAGAAATGATTTCCCTTTGAAAACTGAAGTCGCTTATTTATTTCGTGAAAAAGGGATCAGTGAAAGTGCCCTTATTTACAGGTAAATTATTTTTAATTTATTATTTTTTTTTACTCAAAAAAATAAACATTGCCCCCTTCTACGATTTACAAACATACAATTACGTTAGACAAACGAACAGAAAGATTACCTGATGGTAAGCAATCAGCGCTGCCCATAACATAGGAGTTAAGATTGCGTTGCCGAACTTTTGGGGATAAGGGATTTGGAGATTCAGGGATTTTGGGAGGGGATGGATTGGGCCTCCGGTATTACCTGACTCACACGGCGAAAAAACGCTGTGGTTGTTTCACGCCGGTTTTCTGAGAGGCCGTGGTATCACTCCGGTCGAGCCGGCCCATTCGTGCTGAAGCATGGCTCTCCCACACTTTTTGGGCCTTTGTTTTTTATTTTATTAAGTTGCGTCTTTGAGCTAATGGCGCGCTAGCTCGTGTCTTATGAATAAGAGTCCCGTTGTGACTTAAAATTAGACGAGCTTTTCTTAGTGAATGTCACGAGTTCTTTTTTTGTGAGGGGAAAATCATCAAATGTCTTCTCCCGCCCAGGGCCGGGCGGGAAGTGTCAGACTCTTACTGACTAAAAACCCCCCTGTTTCTTCTCATGCTCTGGGCCGAAGTCGCGGTGCCTCATTGCGCTTACCCCGCAACCCCGGCTGAACATCAGCCCTATAGAGCCCGTCTGTGGTGGTCTATTGGCTTTTTGAGGCGCGCGCGGAACGCTACGCACCGTACGCTCGGGCCTAGCTCTGGTCGGGCGGCGAGCTGCCCTTACTCGCGAACCGCAGAACCGCGCCTACGGTGGCCGGAGATCGTCCCTTGATCCCCGACGCCCGTAGTGTCGCCTGTTGCGGTGGCTGAGGCCGTACTTAATGTCACGAAAGTAAGTTTAAGTGTGGGAGAGCAATGCTTCGGCACGAATGGGTCGGTTCGACCGGAGGCCCAATCCTTCCCCTTCCCGGACCCTTCCCAAATTCCTAAATCTCCAAATCCCTAATCCCTAAAAGGTCGGCAACGCACTCGTAACTCCTCCGTTGCGGGTGTCCATGGGCGGCGCTGATTGCTTACCATCAGGTAATCCGTATGCTCGTTTGCCGACTTACTACATAAAAAAAAAGTCGTTGTTCCCAATTAATCAATTTTGTTGTTTCAGAAATGATTATGATTTACCCCAACTGCTTAATAGTACAAAATCAAAGGTAGTATTGGTCGATCATCATGTTTTAGCGACCAGAGACAAGTTTTTAGCTGAATACGTCACTGAGATCATCGATCACAGGTATGTATGTATTTCTTTCTGTTTTAAACTATAATTCCGCCCCCGCTTCGCACGGGTCCAACTATCTCGCTATCAAAGGGTCACCTTTTCCTAAACTTCCCCTCTACTTTACTAATATTTTCTTTGATAAGAACCTTCTCCTGACAAACACAACAATAAAACAATTTGACTGCACGGTTGGTGCGGTGGCTGGGCAAATGGCTGCCGAGCAACATGTCGCGGGTTCGATTCCCGCACGGAACAACTCTTTGTGCGATTAACAAATTGTTGTTCCGGGTCTGGGTGTCATGTGTATGTGAATGTGTATGTTTGTAACCGCACCCATGACACTAGGAGAAAAGGCAACGTTTTAAAAAAAAAAAATAGCAAAATTGGTCTAGGCGTTGTAGAGTTATGCGCTTACCAACACATTTTGCGATCCAATTTTATTTAAAAGCAGTCGTCATTTGAACTGACCTGTTACTTGACGGTAAGCAATCAGCGCCGCCCTTGGACACTCGCATCACCAAAAGAGTTACACGTGCATCGCTGGTTTTTGTCGGTTGTAAGGTTGTTATTTCAGTGTAAGTGAATTGGAGTTTGAGATGATTGGGAGGGGGAGGGGGGAGATAATTGGGTCTCCGGTAACCTCAATCACACGGCGAGACACCTACAACTTACCTAAATGACGTGGTATCACGCCGGTCACGTTCGGCCATTCGTGTCGAATTATTGCTCTTCAACGTGAGAAAATAATAGATATAGGGTTTGGCGTGGGCCATCAATTATAAATATTCCTAATTTATAAACGCATGGTATTACTTCGACTCGACCGCAGAGATACCACGGCCTCACAGAAAACCGGCGTGAAACAACCACAGCGTTGTGTTTCTCCGTGTGAGTGAGGTTACCGAAGACCCAATCCTTGATGCCAATTGCCAATTTTTATCTCGGAAACCTTAATTCCTAAAATACCGGCAACGCACTCAATACTCCTGTTGTGTTGCGGCCGGCACCTATTGCTTAACATCATATAAACCTTATTTTTTTATGGTATAGGCCGACAAATGAGCAGGCGGATTACCTGATGGTAAGCAATCAGCGCCGCTCGTGGACACCCGCAACAACGGTGGAGCGGAGTTCGTTAATGACCTTTTGGGGATTAGGGAATTGAAGATTTTGGGATTGGGGAGGTATATTGGGGGAGGGGGAGGATTGGGTCTCCCGTAACCTCACACGAAATACAACGCTGTGGTGGTTTCACGCCAGTTTTCTGTGAGGCCGTGGTATCACTCCCTTTTGTACTGAAGCACGGCTGAAGTGTGGTAAAACTTAAGGATAGTTTATATTTGTAAAACTACCCTTATTGTCCTTATATTCCTCAACTATTTTTAGGCCCTTAGACAAATCTGGATGGTGTTATAAACCAGATACTCGAACTACCATAGAGATTGTAGGATCCTGTTGTACCCTCGTTGCTCAGAGAATAAAGGATCTCAGTTCTCTGGTAGCTAAAGATGTGGACTTCTTCAATGCTTATCCGGTTTGCAGCGAAATGTTGCATGGTAAGGACGTCACTGAATAGTCTATACTAATATTATAAAGAGGTAAAAGTAAGTTTGTATGTAGGGGGTAATCTTTGGAACCGCTGGTCGAATTGCCAAAATTCTTTCACTGATAGATAGCTACAATGTTCCTGAGTGCTATAGGCTATAAATCATCACGCTACGATCAAATAAGGCCGAGTAGCGGGTGAAACCGCGCGAGAGAAGCTAGCATAAAACCAAGTCGCTTTCTCTGTCCCTATATCCCTATGTACGCTTAAATCTTTAAAACTACACAACAGATTTTGATGCGGTTGTTTAATAGTACAATAATTAGGGATGTGAAGAAAAGTAGCTAGGGAAGAGGAAGGTTCATATTTATATTGTGTATAGGTTTAAATGCATTTCTGTTCTTGCTCGAAAGGTTTCGGCTTAGTTCGAAAGATTTCGTACTATTGATTTACTTTTTGTAACGACGTCTTCTAACTGATTTTGATTAGCAATCAACTCCTAGTTCGATAACCGGATTACCAAAAGACTTTTTTTTAGTAATTAGGCGGAGTCAGTTTTTTTTTATATTATTATAACTTTCTTTTTTTTAATTCTAGCAACAATTATACTGGATACAGTTAATTTCTCGAAGGAAGTGAATAAGGGAACGCCACACGATGAAGAAATCATATTGTTCCTCGAAAGCCTTCTGAAGCCAGCTGATTATAAAGCTGAAAGGTCTGTATTTTTTTTAGTGATAGATCGGCAATTGAGCACGCTATTACCTGATGGTATGCAATCGACGCCGCCCATGGATACACGGAATATCAGAGGAGTTACGATTCCACCAGTGCAGTGTGCGAGGTCTTTTCGGGATAAGGGTTTTTGGAGATTTAGGTAGCGATTGGTGGAGGTGAAGTTTCAAAATCCTCTAGTGTTGCGGTGTTTATGGGCAGCGCCGATTGCTTACCATCAGATAGTCCGTCTGGTCGTTTACCGACCTATAAAAAAGGCCGCAACAACAGAGCAGTTACGAGGTGCGTTGCCGACCTTTTAGGAATTGGGGATTTGAAGATTTAGGATTGGGGAAGGGGAAAGATTGGGCCTCCGGTAACCTCAGTCACACGGCGAAACACAACGCAGTGGTTGTTTCACGTTGATTTTCTGTGAGACCGTGGTATCACTCCGGTCGAGCCGATCCATTCGTGCCGAAGCATACCGCACTTGAATTATGAAACAATTGTGGAATCCAATTAAAGTTTTGAGTTTTTGTTTATCCTTATAATAAATATAGTTATACAAAAACTTGATTTTTTTTTTCTACAGACTAAATAAATTGAACAGATTACTGGCCGCTAGGACGGACGTCTCCCATCTCTCTGCTGCCCAGCTTATGAAGAAAGATGTCAAAGTTATTGGAAATGTACTCGTACCAAGTTTTCCTATATTGGTAAAGGTAAGACCGGGGTATTTGTATCGGTTTAGGTACCTAATGAACAATTGTTTGGGCATCTACTTGGGCTTCAAATAAATAAAATATTTCTTCAATAATTAAGTACTTTATTTGAGGAAACCATATTTCACAATGCACACAGTGACTGAACCGACAATAAAAATTTAGAAAAAGGAATTCATTCGCGAACGAACTGCGCTGCGCGCGCATTATTGGCGACCGCTCTCGCTCCGAGAGTTGCACACGCAGATTCGGTAGATGGCGCTGCATCGGACAACAATCTTGGTATCTCTTTTTATCTAATTTTTTTTTTAAATGTTTACTTTCAGATATTTACCTAAATCGATGTTAGCTAATAAACTGAATTTAAATAATCTTTGTATGTACTTTATACGAGCTCTTTAATATAAAGAGACATACCAACATTGTTTACCTTAAGTTATCCACCTAAATAGATTTAAAATCTGTTGTTAAAGTAGAAAATATTAAAAAAACTATTTAAATACAGAATCTTTGAGTTAATACAAATTAAAAAAAAAAGTTAGAATTATTCATTTATCGATATTATGTATTTTTAAATCTATACTAATATTATAAAACTTGAACGCGCTAATCTTCGGAATCTGTGTGTGTGTCCATTTATAAAACATCACGCTAGGAGTTGAGCAGCGGGAGAAACCGCGTGAGAGTACCTAGCTAGTGGCAATATGACACTTCTATAGAAATTTCGTACTTATATTACTATGACACAACTAAATTGTGACGTAATTTTTTGTGTCAAATATAAATACTTTTTTTTTAAATTGTTAAAAAATAACCTGATTTTTTACAATGCAAATCCAAAATAAATAATTTATTATAGCTATGTTTTAATTGTATTTTTCTGTATTCTTTTATAGGAATTCTTGAGTCGTCCTGAAGCTTTAAAAGCAGTCTCCGAAGCCTTGACGCAAACTAACTGTGACATGGCTCTTCTCCTGGGAATGGACTTGAGCGAGGGTCTGAAGAGGGATACCGCTGTCTTTTCCGATAGCAAACCACAAAAAGCTGTTTTGGTAAGAATTATATGAAAATTAATAAAAAAAAACAATCTATACTAATATCATAAAGAGGTAAAATTTGTAAGTTTGATTGATGTAGGGGGCAATCTTTGGAACCGCTGGTCGGATTGCCAAAATTCTTTCACTCATAGATAGCTACAATGTTCCTGAGTGCTATAGGCTATAAAACATCAGGCTACGATCAAATGGAGCCGAGCAGCGGATTAAACCACGCGAGAGTAGCTAGTACTTAATATCTTTAATAAAAAATCATGATACCTACTGTGCGTGAAATAGTTGCCTTAAGCCGGCTGTACACACATGGGGCCAAGGTTTTGGGCCAAATTAATGAGCCCGCAGTCCACATTGACCCAAGGTAAGGGCCAAACCTATGGGCCCAACGTGTACCAACATACCGCCAAGTACCCCTCGTACTTGGCGGTATGTTGGTACCGGCGCGCCAAGATCCTTTGATGTGATGGTTAGGTTTGATGGACAAAAAAAAACAACGTTCAGTTTGCTCGCCAATATTAGCGCCAACATATTGCCAAGAAACCCTCTACGTTGGACCAATACCTTGGGCCGATGTGTATTGTATACTGCAAGCTTTAGCATCCGACCATTTGCTTTTTTTTTTCTTTTTTTTACATTGTCCCTCACTAGGCCTTTCTCCTGTGTTGTGGGTGCGGTTACAAACATCATACACATGACATCCAGACCCAGAACAACAATTTGTGGATCACACAAATATGAATGGGACAAATAGAAACGGGAATCGAACTCGCGACACGTTGCACGGCAGCCAGTTACCGCACCAACCGTGCAATCAAGTATTTAATGGTGCTCTGTTTAGTAAATAATAAATAGACCTTTATTATTTAGAAATAAAAGTTATTAACTATTTTTGTATTCTATAATTATTTTTAAATAGGGTAAACAGTACAATGATTGGCATTCTAAGATGATCTTCAACATAAATGTAGTGACATCTATGTTATAATAATATTTTTGTATATCTAATGTTTACCAGATATAAGGTATATAAACGTATAAATTATAAAGAAACACATTTTATTAAAAAAATAGCTTTATTGCTTAAAAAGTAACATTAAACTTATTTCTATTTTATTGCACAATCATTGGCACTGAAGTATAATTATTGGCACAGCGAGTTTGGTATAACGATTGGCACTACATATTTACTAATGTAGGCACACCTTGCTGTCACGAAAAAAGGCGAACCTAACGCACATAAATAATTTATCCCATCCATGGTCCATTAATAAACTCGCCTACCTAATCATCTTCTAATACTTTTAATAGTTCTTCATTTGTCATTGGTCTCAGTCTATTTTCTTTAACTTTTATCTTATCTTTTCTGGTTTCCCTTGATACTCTGAAATTTGCAGGTTCATCTAAAATAGGTCCTTTCTTTAATGCTTTTTTGACCATTGATTGTTCCGATTCTTTGAAGCTTCTTTCATTTTCAGCTTCAGCTGCATCTAAAATTGGTCTGTTTTTTATTTCTTTTAGGGTAGTAATATTTGCAGGTTTAACTTCGCTCATAGGTTCTATTTTTAATTCCCTTGTATATCCTCTTTCTTCTTCAATATCACTTGAGATTCTATTTGCAGGTTTAATCAAGACGTTTGATTGGATTACAATTTTGGGTTTAATACTATCAGAGTTTGGTTTACTTTTCTTAATTAACTTTAAATCTTTGGCTTTGTTCTTTTTCTGTATAGTTTCAGCTTGTTTTTTTTCCTTGAGTAATTGTTTCTCTTTGGCTTTCTCTAGTCTTTCTATTCGTTTGTTCTCCTTTTCTTGTATCTCTTTCATCTTATTTTGTTGTTTTCGTAGTTCTACAGCTTCCCAATCTTTACTAGTCAAAACAAATGTGCGATGTTCTGTACCAGCTTTTTGTGTTTTAATTGGAGTCTTCGGTAACTTTAAAAAATCATTTATGTCTTTTTTGTGCCTTTGTAGTGACTTTGATTGGCATATTATCCACCAGTACCCATTTTCTATCAATCAGCTCTACATTTTGACGGCTGGTGGATGGAATAGGTATTAAATTTATTGGCGTTATTGACTGGTTTTCTCTTTGAAAATCTGAAATAATGTCAACCGTTTGTGCAGCTTCTGGTATTGAATCGTTTATTGATGAATAGATTGTACAGGATTCTAAAGGTAATTTTTCAACCACATGATACCAAAGTTCAACATGCTCTCCACCTATTTCGTGTCCTGAGGTTTCTGAATAATCGACAACCATCGTGTTTGCTTTAGATATGCCTGCGAATTGAGGTTCATGGGACAGTTCTGGTTCATTTAGCAAAAGTTCTACATCTGTTGGCATTGTCGTTAATTCATTAAAGGCTGCCATTGTGTTCAAATCTTCTGAACCATCCTTGTTTTGTTCATTTAAATTGCTCCTGTCCTTGTGTTGTATTAGTTCCATAGAAGTTGTCTCTTGTTCTGGCTGTACCTAAAATTTCAACACAAGATGTTGAAATTTTAGGTACGAGATATTTATACAAGTCATAAAGCTTTTTAGCTTCTATTGATTTACCTACCATCTGATTCTTCATCTTTCGGACTAGCTGTGGTCCAACGATTTCTTCAAATGTCTGGTAGTTAAGACTTGTAGAACAGTTGTCATCCAACATTTCTTGTACTGGATTAAATGGGCATAAACCACAAGCTTTAAAACCGTTCTTTAACGTCGTCTTGTTTAATTTAGGTAAAAGCTTCTCTAATATAGGAGCAACATCTGTTTTTAGTAAGGATTTCGTTATCTGTACGCCATTCTAGGACTGCTTTACGCCACATTACTTTTATTGGGCGAAATTCCGCTACGTCTGCTGGTTGCAAAATCCGTGTCGCGTTAGGGTATAGAGCTATAAGTATTATACCAAGATTTTGACAAAGCTGAGTAAGCTGAAGTGTTGTGTGGCTTTTATGCCCATCCAAAAAAAGAATTACTGGAAAAGTGATATTCCTCTTCATTAGCGCTGGATGCAGAACATTCTGTATGTACTGAATGAAAAGCTCGGCCTTCATCCATCCATTTTCTGACAAGCCAATGCCCCACTCGCTAGGCACAGACTTTTGAATCTCAGGTCGCATTCTCTTTAAGGAGTAAATAATCATAGGAGGTGTTGTTACACCATCCGCCGGAAATGTAAACATTACGGTAACACACGATTTAGACTGAGCGTGATCTACCTCATACACATTTTTGGTTCCCCTTAAAGCGATAACTTTAGTATTCTTTGGGCATAAAATAAAATTAGTTTCATCCCCATTGTAAACTCTAGATGGGTCACTCAAAATATTAAAAAGATCATTTTCTTTCAGATATTCTTCTACTTGTTTAAACCAATTTCTAATTTGCTTCTCTGACAACTTTGAGCTTGCTGAAGTTACAGCCTCTGATGTTCGTATAGAAAGCTCAGGATGTCTCTTCAAAAATAATTTATACCATCCATCGCCTGGTGTATTATCTATAAAACTGTTTGGTCTGGGATTTTCGTCCAAATACAGTTTGACACTCTTTATGACGTCCTCTTTACGCCGTGGAAATCCTTTTCTACAAGCTGAAATTATCCATTTAACTACCTCTTTTTCTTCTGCATCAGTCAGAACTGTATCTGGACCAGATCGACTTTTAACAAATAAGTTGGATAGGCGAAACTGCAAAGTTGCCCGTGGGATATTAAATTTATTTGCAGCAGTTTTCTTACCCCTTCCATTTTTTATGGCTTGCAAGGCTTTGTCTACATCTTCTTCTGTATATGCTTTTGAATATTTTTTTCCAACCGTAACCTTCGGCATCTTAAAGCCGTCTAAGTACCTGAAAGTGATGAAAAGAAGAGGAAACCTTAGGTGGATATAGTCATTGGCACAACAAAAAATATATAATGATTGGCAGTGCCAACAATTGGAATAGAAGCGAAATAAAACTTATTTAGCAACCCAATATGGTCTATTTTGATGAAAATGTAATTAAACCAACAAATACATACACACGCCACCAAAAAAAAAAGTACAATCATTGGCATCCGTGCCAATCACTGTATCACTATACAAAAAAAAATACAGGGATTGGCACCAATGCCAATGGTTGTTCGCTTATTTTTCAACACTGAGAACAATAAAAATAGCAATATAATATACCCTAATTTAACAATATCAAATATAAATTGGCGTAGAAACTTACACAAAAATCACTTTTTCACGTGCACTTCTATCCTCCAGCACTACACTTTTTACTATAAAATTAACACAATCACGACCTCTTGATTTCCGTTAAAACTCACAAACAACTGTGAAATAAAAATGGCTGACAACAGTGTTGCCACTATAGAAGATTAGATATTCTACCCAATAAGGTATTGCAGCCGTAAATAAAGAGAAATTGTCTCTTATTATCTGGATTTTTATATCAGAGTGCCAATCACTGGGGGGGTGCCAACAATAGTATAGTTTACCCCTACTTTGTTTCAGTTGAGTAAATTTCTCGAAGACTTCAAGTCCCCTTCGTTCAATCTGTCACCAGAACAATTGGAAAATGCAACGAATTGCTCTTACTACTGGCAGCTCAACCTCAGCGCGTCACGGAAGCAATATATACCCGCACTAAACCAATTCCATGGAATTTTGTAATAATATACACAATTAGTTTCTTATATTTATTGCTGTTGTTTTATTTGGTTTTGCATTAAAGTCCCTTTTCCGTGATTGTTTTCTTGATTTTCAGTATAAATAAATTAGAACTTGGTACCTAAGAAACTTCTCGAAAAAACAGATATTAAATTATAAAAATAAATAATTTGGCGCCATGTTAAAATATAAAAATCTTTTCGTTTATATTTAATTTTATTGTACCTACTGAAAAAAGTTATAATTAAACGTAATACAAAAGCTACATTTAAAAAAAATGCTTCAACAGCGCGGGAAAATTAAAAAAGTAAATAGTTGTCTTTCTTTTTTTTCTTGACGACTTGAGGTGATACGAATTATTTTATTAGCTTAGTTAATTAATAATTATATATTTAATCAGAATTTGTTTATACCTAATTAAACATTATGCCATTTAATTTACGGAAGAGGGTTCCGCTAAGTTATTATGAACCTGACGAGCCAAAATTCGACGAATATTTATGTAAGTACGATTAGGTATTAAGTAAGATCATTTGATAAGCGAAAATTCATACAAAAAAAGATCATGATTAAGTATATTAGTATTGCATTACTTGATATGTAGCAGTGTTTAATTCTACAACTTACAATTTTGTATCAAGGAGCTAAAATTATTGCCGCCAAAAAAAACGCGAGTGTTTTTTAAATAAAATTAGTCACCCATTTTTAAAACCCCTACTACATTATTGAATTATTGCAGATTGCGAAGAATGTTCAGACTTCGTTTACGACTACTGCGCTATACACGGGCCGTTGCTCGTCGTGCCAGACGATAAGGTACAGTTAAAACAATTTAAATTTAATAAATAACATAGAAATTAAATTAAGCTCGTAAGTTAACAAAAATATGTTGGCGGGCTTTTCATGACGTTTAAATGAAGCAAAGCAAAGATTAAGTAACCACTACGTTTAAAATGAAGTTTAAAACAAATCAAAGACAATTTCACCATAAACAACAACTTGAATACTTCCTTTAAAACACAATGGTCATCTGCTACGCCAATGACGTTGACATAAACTCACACATCTTAATACATAAAAGATGCCTACCATATTGTAGGTATTCATGTTTACCAGTTAAGTTTTGGGTTGCATGTAATAACAGACCCCTGTTATTACAAGCAAACTATTGTCATACAAACATTGAAACAATATCATGTACAATCTGGTATTTGGTATGCCAGAACCAAAGTACTTTCATTCCCATCGTATAGATGGTTAGCAATCAACATTTAGGGCGAAACTTTCTGTCTTGCACAGCAAAACTTTGGAATGACCTTTCGCCCCTAGTTTTACCGAACCGATAGGATTGTGTGTCATGGTCGGACGGAGCTAATATTATCTACGTTCTCCTTCCTCCTACCACATAAAAAAAACTAAATACAGCTTGATTCAGTACAGAGACCGAGAGCCTAACAAAAGTAAGCTAGAAAATTGGCTGCATTAATAACCATAACATAATTATATGATTACCTATATTATGATTTAGTGTAACAATACCTACTGTCTCCAGCCGGAGTTGCGCGTATAAGTCCGTTAGGTAATACACCGCAGACCCGGCTCGGTGCAGAAGAAGGAACGGGGTGGTTTTTAGTCAGTGAGATTCTGGCAATCCTTCTCTATCCACACAGGCCGAGAATCAATTCACTTACACACTGTACAAACAAAGTTAATTAGTGGATAGATAGATACATAGGTGTATTTTTACACAATTAGATGCTGTGTGGACTTGAATTTAAGTTTCTTTGTCCTTTCTTACAAAAACCAGGTACCAACAAAGACTGACATACCGTCTTATGTGCCTCGCGCTGCGTTAACCATACCCAATGTATTCCTGCACTTAGCACCATCTATAATACCAGGTAAGATCCATATCTTTATATGAAGCATCTGTCATAAGAATGGGAAAACCATATAATAGGTCTTTACCTATGAAATTGCCGTTTTGCCTGAAAAATTTAAACGAATTTTTTGATTTGAAATGGCCAGAACTGCAGAACAGCAATTTCATAGGTAGGTGTACCTATTAGTAGGGGAAGCTCTCAAGCGTCGTAAGAACTTAACAGATTTTAGAGACTTTGTGATAGAAAGAAAAAATGGCGTAATGGCATTTCCTTTTCCAGAAAGGGTTACTTATCTATACTAATATTATATAGAGGTAATATTTGTAAGTTTGTATGTAGGGGGTAATCTTTGGAACCACCGGTCTGATTGCCAAAATACTTTCACTGATAGATAGCTACATGTTCCTGAGTGCGGGTGAAACCGCACGAGAATAGCTGGTAAGCTAATAAACATGATGTAACTACTTTATCCTTGTGTTTTCTCTTCTTGAGATTTTTTTCTTTGTCATATTTTTTAATATTACTATTATGTTGCGTCTTATTTGTTTCGTAAAGGAAAAATATACCATAAGATTAACAAGGATCTGACTACATATTATGCATACTGTGGTAATCTACAATGAAGTCGATAAGAACATTAGACACTAGTGTAAGATTTTTTAGTTGTCCTAAATAAAAATCCCTTCTAATCTCTAGGTGCAGGTTTAGGTGTGTTTAGCACGTTAACGTTACCTAGAGGCGTTCGTTTTGGCCCTTACCGTGGTCAGCGCACCCAAAATGTGGACTCCATGTATTGTTGGCAGGTAATCCATACTTGTATTATAAATGCGAATGTAACTCTGTGTCTGTCTTTCTTTTCTTCACGCCTAAACTACTGAATCGATTTCTGTGAAATTTGGTACAGACATAGTTTGGAACTCGAGAAAGGACATATGATAGTTTTTATACCAAAAATCTGTAGGCAGTCACTATTCCACGCGAACGGAGTCGCGAGCAAAAGCTAGTGTTTTAATAAACCTAATTATTTAGCCATTTATTGCCCGCTTTTACTACAAGCTTCAAGATCATTCATCATTCTCTTTTCCTATGTGATAGGGCGGCAAACAAGGTTACAGATTACCTGGTGGTAAGCCATCGGCACCGCCTATCGAAGCCCGTAACACCAGAGGAGTTCGGAGTACATTGCCGGCGTTTTGGAGATAAGAGTTTCGGAGATTTAAGGATTGGGGGATTTGTTTTATGTGATAGGACGGCAAACGAGCAGACGCATTACCGGTTGGTAAGCAATTAGCGCCGCCCATTGACACCCGCAACAACTGAAGGGTTACGAGTGCGTTCCCAACCTTAGCCGACCAGATTATTTTGAGACTTTGGGATTGGGAAAGGCTGGAGGATTGGGCCTCCGGTAACCTCACACACACGGCAAAACACAACTCTGTGGTTGTTTCTCGTCGGTTTTCTGTGAGGCCGTGATATCACTCCGGTCGAGCCGACCTATTCGTATTGAAGCATGGCTCTCCCTCAACTATATTCATATTTCTAGATATACAACGAACACAACAGACGTTCGCACGTAATAGACGCGGCTGATGGTAATTCTTCGAACTGGATGCGATATGTGAACTGCGCTCGACATTGGAAGGAACAGAATCTTCTAGCTTACCAGTATAAGGGGCAGCTGTACTATAGGTACTTGTGAAATTAGTTATTTCAGTCGCTGTTCTAAGAGTTATTACTACATAGCTAATTGGTTACCTGGTTGGGCAGGATACATGCCCGCGGCAGGACATGTGACTACGGGAAAGGATTACCTAAATCTTTGTGTGATCTACAAATTGTTGTATGTTTGTACACCCGACACGGTCGATCCAAGTGTGAGGCAATGTTAAGAAATATGAACATTAAAAGGAATTTTAATATTCTCCTGTGTCGTGGGTGCGTTAACAAACATACAATATCACATACACGCACACTCCCAGACCAGAAACAACATTTTTTGGTCACACAAAGAATTTTTCCGTGCGGGGCTGAAATAATCAAATATTTAATGTTTTATTATTTTTAAGAAGCATTATTTCGTTCAAACTTCATTGGCTCTTGTTTACGTTTGGTACATTTTGCTAGTACCTACAAATGTCGAGTAAGGGATTGGATAGATGAGTTAATGCAAAAACTATTGGGTTGACACGCCCATAAGCGTCTCTAACCACACAAGTATATTTCCGTCATGAAACTGCGGTGTTTTAAGAGAAATGAGCTATGGCTTACGGCAGGCAAGGGTAGCTCGCCGCCCGACCAGAACCAGACCCGAGCGTACGGTGCGTAGCGTTCCACACGCTCCTCAAAGGGCTAATAGACCACCACATATGGGGCAAAATGGGGCTGATCAGCCGGGGTTAGGAGTCAATCGCAATAAGGCACTGCGCCTCGGCCTAGAGCAGGAAAAGGAACCGGGTGGTTTTTAGCCAGTAAGAGTCTGATGATCTCTCTAGCCAAACCCTGGGCGGAGGAAACGATTCGACGATAATTCCTCTTCAAAAAAAAAAAAATACTTACACTCACATTTGTTTTCCATTTCCATATCATCTAATCTTATTTATATTATGTTTAATATTTCAGAACAATAAAAATAATCCCTCGTTTTACTGAGCTGATGGTTTTCTACGGCAGCGAGTTCGCTAACGCTCTAAACATCAACTTAACTAAATATAATAACGCTAAATATTATAAAGAAGTCACGGGTAAGTTATTTATGAATATAACGTGTTTTTTTAAGTCATAGGTCATAACGAGCAGACGGATTGCCTGATGGTATGCAATCAACTCCGCCTATGGCCACTCGTAATACCAAAAGTTATTACTTCAAGTGCGTTGCCGGCCTCTTGTGGGCTATAAGGGATATAAAAGTAGGGGATTTGAGGTATCACTCCGGTCGAGCCGACCCATTCGTGCCGAAGCTTGGCTCTACCACACTTACAGACTTTTTGTGAAATGACACTGTCTCCTTCTGGCCCTTCATTCATCTTTTTAGACCACAATAGATTGCGTACCTATCAAAGTCACATTAGATTCGGTTCAGTAGATTCCAATATTAGGTTTCCATGAAAGCCTGTGTTGTGAAAAACCTTTTTATGCATTGATTGACTCAACTATTGATGGATTTTAGAGCCGACATAGTATAAAACAAAGTCGCTTTCTCTGTCCCTATATCCCTATGTATGTTTTTAAATATTTAAAACTACGCAACGGATTATGATGAGTTTATTTTTATTTATACAGTGATCGAAGAGGAAGGTTTATATCTCTAATAACATCCATTAAATAATGGAAAAAATTTAGTACCAGCATTGTACCCGTGCGAAGCCAGTTCAGAGTCGCTAGTAACTTATAAATCAATTTAATTTATGTTATTATAATAAACAATTTATTTACAGATATACCGAAACCATTAAAGACGCAAAAAACAATAATACAATCCCAAGAAATACATACAGAAGAATATTTTAATATAATTGAAGAAGATACTAAGGAAAGTAATTCAAATCAAACCGTATCTGAAATTACCGACACAAATATTAACTCACAACATGCAAAAGTATCAGAAAATAAGTTAATAGACCCTAGTTCTATGGAAACAGAAAAACCTGAGAATCTCTTGGACCAAGCGTCTATTGAAGACTTTAAATTCTTCAAAACTATCGACGAAAATCTTTCCAAATCTCCAACAAATACAGAAATTAACACCCGAATTGACTCCCCAAAAGAAAACAACGGAAAAATATTACAAAAATGCGAATTTTGTAATAAAATTATGACTAGAAAACATTATAACAGTCATAAGCAAAAACACTTGAATCCCGATAGATATTCTTGCCCTTTCTGCTCTTATAAGACTTTCCGGAGATACGCCTTGAACCAGCACATAGGTAAACATACAAAAAAATATAAATATTCCTGCGATTATTGCAGTTTTGAAACTAATTACGGTAGAAATTTTAGACAGCATCGTGAGAAACACGAAAATGGCGTTGTCCAACCTAAAACTCCGGTGCGAATTACGGAAAAAATTTGCCAAGTATGCGGTTTTAAGTCTTTTTCTAGGAGCGTTATTGAATGTCACAGGAAAAAACATCGGAACGTGAAATTTTCATGTGACTTGTGTTCGTTTACTACTTTTCACAAGTTCAGTCTAAAACGACATTGCTATTCTGTGCATCCATCAAAGTAATTTTGGACCTTCTACGCCCTTATTCCAATTAGCTACTTGAAGATGACTGAAGATTGTTTTATTTTTCTTTTTTTCCTTATAACCTAACCTAATTATTAGTTTACTTTAAGATCAAATTAATTACATATAAGCGTATTATTACATTATAAAATTGACTGAAGCTGATTATGATTTAATTCATTAATACCTAATACATTTTAAGCGAATGAAATTGTTTTTATGCTAAGAAAGGCACGAATGATAAATAAATGATAATTAAAACCAAACTTTTTTATTATTATTATCTATTTTATGTAGGTTAGTACTATAATTATTGTGATACTATCACTTTATTTTGCAGAACGCAGAAATGCAAAAAAAAATTAGAAATGCAATAAATTATTTATTTATTTATTTTTTTCATACTATTCAAATAAATAAATAAATAAATTATAATACATTTATTTAAGCACACACACACACAATGATAAGAGTTGCAGTCAAAGCAGAGAAATCAGAGACAAATAGCAAAGCATAGTAGCGAAACCTCAGTATGCTTTTTCAAAGTATAATGAAAAAAATAATTAATTATTAGTTATAGTAAAATTTAAATGTTACTTTTAATTATTAAAACAGAAAGTATGTGTTTTATTACTATACTAAAGTAATTTTAAATTTATATTTCATAATTCACTTTGGAAATCCTTCGCGTGGTACAACAAAACGCAGAGAATCTGTGGTTATTTTTGTTGTGACTTTGACATTAGATTCTAACCTCCGTATTTCACGCGATAGTTTCGTAAACATACACATGTGAAGTGTTAAATATTACAAATAATAAATAAAACAATGCCTCAACTGCATATAGACGAAGTGTACCCAAAAGAAAGCGTGTACCCTATGGTTGTTAGCTTTCAAAATGGTTACTTAAACCAGAAATTTAAGACAAGTGAGTGCGTTTTACTTGAAGACGAAAAAACTGGGAAAAAGACTGTTGCAACGGAATTATGTGACTTAATATACAGCGGGGAGGAAGAAGAAGAGGAATTAGGCCGTACTCTGATACTAGCACGGGACAAAACAACGGGAAAAGTGAGATTAATAGAAGTTGGTAATGTTGAGCTGAAACCATGCTTACACAATGATTTAGACACAACGGAAGCAATTGAAACGAGTTATTTGGAGCTCAGTAGGAAGTTCGGATCGAAGAAACATAAACAGATAATGGAACAGCGAGAGAAATTAAAGATCAATGTTGAAACGGTCACGGAACAAATGCAAAATGTCACTGAATCTGTTACCGAAGACCAGTTAGACTTGTCATCATATAACAAAAATGATTCTGATGAATTCTACATACCCCCTATAAACAGAGAAGCGAGCAAAGTCGAAGAAGTATACGACATAGACACTATATTAACACCAGAACAACGGGAAAAGATCTACAGTGAAATTAAAGAAACAAATTACCTGAACGAGTTACATCCGTTCTTGAAATCTATAGCGACAAAAGATTTATCGGAACACCAAAAAGTTTTATTAGTATATGCTCAGGCATTATTACAATTATACGCAACATTAATGAAAGATATCAATCGTAAAAACTTCGCTGCTTGTCCCTACTCTGTAACTCTGAACGATATTGTACTAAAAAACTTTCTTAGCAATGTTAACGGTAAACGAGGAAGATCACCCCAATATAAGGATAAGTCCTTATGTCATGCGTTAGTGTTTATTCTATTGTTAAATAATTATAAGTTTAATTTTAATGACCTGTGTCAAGAATTGAAATTGACTCAGAGAACTGTTACGTCAAAGGTTGCTTTGACTGGTGCTACGTTGATTACCGTTGGTACGAAGAAGATGGCACAGTTGAAGCTACCATTAAGTAGACCTGCATTACGAAGAAAAAGTTCAAAGTTTTGAATATATTTTTGACACTGCACTTTGTTTTTCATTTTGTAGTGTAAGTCACGTATCCCTTATATTCTCAGGTATTACACGTATTGTCGTCATTGGTCATATAATTTAATTGATCACGTAATTATAAGATTGAGCGCCAAAGTTTGGAGGTAGTCTCCAGCCACTGCCCTTGTATGACTGCACGGTTGCCGTAACTGGCTGCCGCACAACGGGTTGCAGGTTCGATTCCCGCACGGAACATCTCTGTGTGATTTACAAATTGTTGTTCCGGGTCTGGGTGTAATGTGTATGTGAAATTGTATGCTTGTAAATGCACCCACGACACATGATAAAATCTTACAGTAGGGCAACATTTTTACATTAAAAACCTATCAAAAAAGATTTTACAATTTTCCAGTTTTTTAAAAATTTTCAATTTTCCTCCTTTTTTATTAACTCTACGTCCGGTCTCCCTCTGTGAAACTAAAGGAACGAAGTAATATGGCGTCAATTCGTCGTTATTTTGACGTTTTTAATTTTTTTAAGTACCTACGTACCTACCTACTTATTTATAGCGGCGCGACTTGCTAATTAACTTTCAAAATTAATTTTATTAACCATTCGTATAGTTTGCCAGCCACGTTTATGTAAAGTCGACTAAATAGCCAATAAAAAAGAATTTTAGAGAATAAGAACCAATTTTAATAGATATTGCTTGTAATATTTTTATTTACGTAACTTATAATACTTGTCGGAGCGACGATTATTTTAATTGAATTTTGAAGGAGGTTTTATCAAAATTCATCGGACGAGGGTACCATAAATCGTACTCTGGCGGAACGTCAAACTGGCAGTTCTGCGTGCGCATTATGTTGAAGAGCGAGCGCTGTGACTGTCATAGGAGACGGATCGCCAACGTCCGTTATTTTTGTAATTCATTCGGCCTGATTATAAAATCCTACGCCCTGCGATGGACTGTGAAGACGATGATCGTGATGTTGATGTTTGTACCAACCCCCCGGTGCCTTCATCAGAAGTGGGATTTGATGGGAAACCATCTGATATTCCGAAAGAACGACCTGTAACTGACGCGGATAAAGAAGGGGCACGCAGTCATCTGTTTTTCATGCCACGTTTCTACTGCTTGCTTGGAGAAGAAGACCAGCTATGCAACATTTAAAGAAGTCAACACACTTGCGGCTATAGAGCTTCCAAAGGCGTGTTGGAGACATCTACGGGTGAGAAAGTTCCATTTCTTTGGGATAACGGGTCATCTTCCTCATTATCTGCGTGTTCATATGATTGAACCAACGACTGTATTGATAACGCGCGAGATAGTTCCCAAATTAGAGATTAGTGATTTGATGGTTGTACCTAGTTTCATCTGGGAAACGTGATTGTCTGTGAATATAATTGTGAGTTGGCGTAGCTGATCGTTGGGAAGGATAGTGACGTCCGGTCTATGTCACGTGGTGTCTAGTCGGAGGGACGCACTAGTCTGACCCAGTCAGGTGATGTGGTGAGCTGGTCGGAGGGATGATGTGGTCTTGCCGGAGCATGTTGGCTGGTGGTAGAGGCGCATACATCCGGTCCATGCACACCAATCGCTGAGGCCGTATCAGTGTGGTTTGGGAAAAGTTGTTTTGGAAGTAGGTACAACTGAAAATGATGATAATGTTACATCGATGTTGAGTACAGTAACCAGACGATGTTGAGATAACGCATGTTAGTCAGGATGAACGAGCAGCGTGCTATACACGTGGAATCTTTCTTCTGTTCCAGAATTACCACAGAACTAAGATCGCTCGAGGACGAGCGAATGTCAGTCTGGCCGTGTCGGAGCGACGATTATTTTAATTGAATTTTGAAGGAGGTTTTATCAAAATTCATCGGACGAGGGTACCATAAATCGTACTCTGGCGGAACGTCAAACTGGCAGTTCTGCGTGCGCATTATGTTGAAGAGCGAGCGCTGTGACTGTCATAGGAGACGGATCGCCAACGTCCGTTATTTTTGTAATTCATTCGGCCTGATTATAAAATCCTACGCCCTGCGATGGACTGTGAAGACGATGATCGTGATGTTGATGTTTGTACCAACCCCCCGGTGCCTTCATACTAATATTTTATTTAAAACAAAATATAATAAAAAAACAGATCACATTTTTACATATCAAAAAGTTCAATTATGACACAACTTTATTCTATTTTTAAATGTAAATTTTTCATTCTCAATTTTTACTTTCATTCTATGGAAAAAGGAAAAAGCTCTTTACAACTGTAATATTAAAGGTTTTTAACTACAGATACGGTCATTATTCAGTAAATATTAGGAAAATGATTACGTATGTGCTTATACAAGCATAAACAGATCCTGTGTTATACAAAATATACTTACAATTAATAATTCCTATATGTTCCCAATTCACGTTAATTTCAAGTATTTGATCAGTACCTATAGTACTTTTTTGTGATAGGACGACTAACTTGCTTACGGATTACATGATGGTAAGCAATCAGCGGAAACCGCCCGAGGAGTTACGAGTACATTACCGTCGTTGTGGGGATTACAGTTTCGGAGATTCAAGGATTACTGGAGGAAAATGACAAGCCTGCCGGTAATCTCTCTCGCACCACACGACAAAACAACGCTGTTGTTGTTTTACGCCGGTTTTCTGTGAGGCCGTGGTGTTATTCCGGACGACCCGATAAATCAAATTATAACTGTAGGTATACCTACATTTTGCTTAGCCGGGGTCGCGGGTTAAGCGTCATAAGGTACCGCGGCCTCGCCCTGGAGCAGGAGATAGAACGGGGGCGTTATAGTCAGTAAGAGTCTGACACTCCTGATAACCTGGACGAGGGAAGTTATTTGATGATTTTCCCCCCAAAAGAAAGAGGTTTTGTTGCTTACGCGACCTACTTGTAGTATTAATTAAGGTTATCTAATTAAATAAAGCCTTAAATTAAAATATACATTTATTTTTATGAGTTTTCAAAATAATACAAACAAGTACTTACCTACTGTAGGTAATAAAATAACCTAAAAATTATAAAATTGAGTATCTACTAATCTTACGTATTATGATATTAGTATTTCAGTCAAAACTTAATTAAGTAATTAATAACGACATAATACACTTAATCCAGGCAAGTGTAAATAGAGATGTAATATCAGCTATTTTGGCATGCAGACATGAAAATAAACCGTTAGGTAGGTAAGCGTTGCCGGGGTTGCGGGGTAAGCGCAATGAGGCACCGCGCCCTCGGCCCAGAGCAGGAGAAGGAACAGGGGGGTTTTTAGTCAGTAAGTAAGAGTTTGACACTCCCTCCCGCCCGGCCCTGGGTGGGAGAAGTCATTGAATGATCTCCCCTGACAAAAAAAAGGTAGGTAAACGTTCGGAAAGCAAGGGCAGCTCGCCGCCCGACCAAAACCAGATCCGAGTGTACAGTGCGTAGCTTTCTGCACGTGCCTCAAAGAGCCAATAGACCACCACAAATGGGGCCCAGTAGCGCCGATGTTTAGCCTGGATTGCAGGTCATGCGCAAGAGCCTCGGCCTAGAGCAGGAGAAGGAACCGAGGTGTTTTTAGTCAGTAAGTCTTGATACTCTCTCTCCCATACTCTAGGCGTCAGAAGTCATATGATGATTTTTCGAGATTGTCTGTTACATCGTGATTCTAAAGTCAAATTACATATTGTCGAAGTATTAGGTATTACAGAACAAAAGCAAATTGTGAAGTTAGATTTTTTAAAATATTATAACGCGTTGAATAGTGATTTTTTAAGGAAAAGTTTTCCAACCTAGCAAACGGATTACTTTATAGTGAGCAATGGGCAATCCCATGGACATTTCTTATACCAAAGGAGGTAGTCCAAGAGCGTTTCTGGGTTATTAATTATTAGAGATTTAAGGGTAGGTAATTTGGGGATTGAGAATGAAAGAATACGCCTTCGGTAACCTCACTCATACGGCCAAACACAACTGTAGTTTTGTTTCACGCCGGTATTCTATGAAGCTGTGGTATCAGTCTGGTCGTGCCCTCCATTCGCGGCGAAGCATGACTCGCTCACAAATAATTTAGGTATTTTGAACCTACCTAGTCAAAAACTCAATTCAATCAATATTTTTTTCGTAACTGCATACCAAATAATTTAGCTGATCAAATGTATACGAATACACAATTATGTACTTAATATTTGTAAGATAATTCAAATCCTTATTTAAAACATTGGATGTACTTTCCTCAATATTTCGAGATGACCGCCAAAAAAGACAATCTTTAGGAACCAGAAGAAAATAAAATTTACAACTCGCAGATCGTACCAGCGATGTTCTAAATATACTTACAAATCATATAATATATGTGTATTATAGGTATGTATTTTTGTAACTATAATACGGTAGTTTCCAACTAGTCAAATTCAATACTTTTATCCAAACGTCAAAACCGATACTTTTCTATGAAATTTGTATGAAAAACTGAGTTATGACGTCACAACATTTTTGCGTCAAATAGCTTACTTATTTCTTAATAATCAGCTAAAAAGAATCTAATACTTAGTGTATCGATCGATCGATGAATAAAAGTATAGTTATTTTTCAATATCTCATTGTTTTGACCTAGGAAACTACCCAATTATGGTATTAAAAAAAATACAGTATACACTTAACATGACTTATGCAATTTTGAGCTTGTAATTCTGATTAACCTAAACCTTTTAAACTGTGATCTATACCTATTACCATTTTATATAGGACTAGCGTCCCTGATAAGCAACTTCCACTGTAACAGTCATTTGTTTTGTTAGCTACCCGCAACGCCATTGGAGATTCGATAGGGCTGCTATTTCTAAATTTTACCGTATATATTTCCACAATCTTGATATTCATACAATCAAAAAAATAACTTAATTGGTCCAGGCGGTATTAAGTTATCGTTTACCAACACACGCACACATTTTACAGATTATTTCTATGTATATAGACTAGTTACCACGGCTTGACCCGCTACTCGGTTCCAATTGATCATATCATGATGTTACATGCCTGTATCGTTATTTGACAAATCGACAATCTATAACTAAGAAAAATTATTCAGTTCGAACCAGCAGTTCCGAAGATAAGCGCGCCCAAACAAAATAATACTTTTCACCTTTATAATATTAGTATTAGTTTGGGACAAATGAGCAGACGAATCACTTGATCATAAGCAATTAAAATCAGAAGATATCTGCAGCACTTGAGGAGTTCCAGATGAATATTTAATTCGTAATGGGCCGCTATCACGCCTGGTGTAGGCGATGATGCGACGTACGATGGAGCACGCCTACAAATAAGCAACCTATTCACTCAGGCCTTGAAGACACCCAGGCCCCCTTACATATCCTTCGGGGAACACAGACCCCGAAAAAGTATTCCACTCCTTAGCGGTTCTGATTATAAAACTGCAGGCGAACTGCTTTGTGCTTGTGGTTGGCATATCCGTCCATTCAAGTTTTGGAGAGCCATGCTTCGACAAGAATAATCCAGCTCGACAACGGGGTGAAACAAAGTTTGTGCTCTGCTTTATAGTGTGACTAAAGTAACCGGAGGCCACACAACCACAAAAGGGCGGCATCGCCTTCGTAACACCTTTTGGTGTCATAGACATGTCAAAGCCAAAACCATTTATTTCAATTAGACCATTATTAGGCTTTTGATCGTTAAACAAAGCTAAAGATAAAAATGTCAGTCTGTCGGTCAGTCCTCTTAGTGAAGCTATTTACTCGTTCCAAAGTGTAGATTCCGATGGAGAAGAACGAGTAAGAAACTCCATTGTTACTCTTTTGATTGTTTTGACCAGCCTGCTCATTTACCGACCTATACTATAAAAATCTAAGGTGAAGGAGGTTCCATCTTGATTTTCGTTTCAATCAAGTCTTCCAATTTCACTTTTACATCCAAAGTAGTACTTTCAGGTAACATATCGTGAAACGCACCAAAGTTGGATATATCGTTTTCTTCTTCACTCATTTCCGCCGTACATAGCTCGCTTAAAATCATTTTGCTTTTAGAAACATCAGAATTGACAACTTTATACCTCTGTATAGCAAATTCCAACGAATTGTAAGACTCTAAACAATATTCGCATTTAAAAATAATCGAGTCACCTAAATGTTTCAGTTTGCTATGAATATCGATGTAAAATTCATCGTTGAAGCGCTTAATGCATTCTTCACAGTCCACGGCGAAAACTCTTCTACGAGATCCGAAGTTCGCTAGTTCGTCTACGTCAAAATCTACGTGGAACTTCTTGATGTGTCGCTTCAAAGTTTTTCGCGTGCTAAAGTCCTTCATACACAGAATGCAGCGCGGCAAGACTTTTTGTTTAATATTCGGCACCAAATTCACATGGCAGACTTCATTGTGGGCGTCAAATTTCTCCTGTCCCTTGAAAACTAAGTTGCACTCTTCACATTTATAAATCTGATCTTCAGCTAGATGTTTCGTTTGCAGGTGTATCGTCAGAGCTTCGTTACTGCTGAAGGACACGGAGCAAAGATGGCAGGGGAAAGTATTCATATTAAACGAATGTAACAACTTTAGATGTATCTTACAAGATTTCGCAGATTCGAACCGTTTCTGGCAGATATGGCATTGAGGAAATGCGGTTGAATTTGGATGCTTAGTTCTAACATGTTTTCTTAAGCTTCGTTTCTCTTTAAACAGCGTTTCGCATTCAACGCACTTATGCCGTTGCATTCCCAAATGTGTATACTCAACATGCCTTCTTATATTTCTTTTGGATTTAAACTGCTTGTCGCAGTACTCACAACGGGACCAGGAGTCGTTGTTATGGACAATTTTGATATGAGACGCCAAATAATACTTGTTGCTGCAGATTTTCCCACATAATTGACACTCGACCTCCTCATCTGTTGTGTGTTTCAATTTAATATGGTGTTTTAAAGACCGATCACTGTAATAGATCCTGTCACAGTGCTTACATTTGAATGAAATCGAATCATCGTCGATATTCGTTGAAGATATGTTAGAATCTGCGATTTGGGCTTGTGGATGGAAAATCCGCGTATGAAACTCTAAACTGGAGATATCTGTGAATAATTTGTCGCAATATTCACAGGAGTTCACGTTCGGAGGAGGAAGACAAACAGTTTTGTGCGCAGACATTGTTTCTTTACTGAAAAACTTATTAAAGCACACGTTGCAAGTTGAAAGCGAATATTCAGTGTCATGGTTGACCCGCATGTGATTTTTGAGTTCATAAACAGTCAAAAACGAATGCTCACAAAACTCACACGAATATATATTATGAGAATCCATTCCGTATTGTTTTAAAAGCGACTTTTTGCAGTATTTGTAAAATGATTTAAAAGAATGTTCCTGTTTAACGTGTTGTCTCAACGAAGGTTCATCATCGAATGATTTGTCGCAAGATTCGCATTGATATTCAGCGTTCCGAGACTCAATTTCCGATGTTTGATGGTGATATTGTATGTGGGTTTCATAATTATCCCTTCCTATAATAACTTTAAAACAATAACTGCAAGTCAAATTCTCCTGATTATCCGAACTATGTCTAGTTCTAGCGTGTCGACGAAGACTTTGATTGGATGTGTAAACTTTTGGGCAAATATCACATTTAAACTCTCCCTTTTCGCCGTGAAACATTTCGATGTGTCTCTTCAAATTTCTGTTATTCGTGTAAACTTTTTCGCACAAATGACATTTGACAACGTCCCTTTCGATGGCGTTGTGTACTGATTGTATATGAGCTATTAAGGACTGTTTTCCTCGGAAGGTCTTATGGCAATCATTACACGTGGGATACTCAACATCCGGATTATGTAACTGATTCATATGTCGCTTTAAATTGCGTTCCGTTGTGAACGTTTTCTCGCACAACCTACATCGGATCTCGAAGCCAAGTCCTTGCAAATGTACTGTGATCATATGAGACACTATGTTCTGTTTTCTGGTAAAAATACGACCGCAAAGTTCGCATTCAGGGAACGGCTGGTTGTAATTATTATGGCCCCGAGACATATGCTGTTGTACCCCAGCCAAACTGCCGAAATTTTGCCCGCAAATATCACATCGACATGATGTGTTTATATGGCAGTTCTCTATGTGAGTTTGAAGGTTATATTTTCTCGTAAAAGTCCTTGAGCAGTAGTCACAAACGAAATCTAATGAGTTTGAACACATTTTTGAGATTCTTCTTTTCTACAGCCTGCGTTTATTTCGATGTTGTTGTCGCCTTAGATCTGGAATGAAAGATTTTCAATTACAACTTGATCTCAATAGCGAATTGTCAAGGAAGTAGAATTGAATCGCGCCGACACTAAAAAAATATGAATGAATGAATGAATGAATGAATATACTTTATTGTACACCGTAATAAAAAAAAACATAGGAAACATAAACACAAAATATAGTACAATTGGCGGTCTTATCGCTTAAAAGCAATTTCTTCCAGACAACCTTTGGATGGAGTTTAACTGTAGAAGAATTTGATACGGGCAGTATACTTGATTAATCAGTTTTATGTCAACAATCAAGGGGTTCTAGCTAAAGCTTAGTAAGAAGACTTGATTTCTGTTTTTCGATAGGGCTAAGTATAGGTCTATAGTAGTGAATTTAAATGTTTAAGTAATTTTAAAGAAATAATTTTGATCACGCTTTTGTCTAAATGTGCTCAACTGGAAACTACCACAGGGTTTTTTTGCGCTGTCTGAGTGAGGCTATCGGAGATCCAATCGACCCCCCTATTTTACGTGTTATGAGGGTGTACCGGGCCTTTCCCAAATTTTAAAAATTAAAAAATCTGTGTCTAAGTTCTAGTGCACAGGCTTAGGACACCCTGTGCCTTACTTTTCATGTGATGTGGAAAAAAAATATTAGTTCATACGGTGATATGGGACGAATAGAATTTGAGGGGTGAATGAATACAGAAAAGGGATGAATAGATATTAGGAAAATTCACCAACATGTCTTCCCCCCCATTTTTCAGTATCCATTTACCCGTCAAATACAATTCACCCTGTTTTACCTAAGTAAAAAATAATAATAAAAAAGTTACCTATGTAACTAAATCTTATGCAGATAATATGTACGCTTCACATTTATTTGGTGATCAGAAAAAGTAAGAAAGAAAATAAAGAATCACTCTTAACTTAACAGAGATTAATGTTAGGTTTTTTAACAAATCATCATGTAATTTCTTTCGCAAAGGATAAGGCGAGAGAGAGTTTCAGACTCTCACTGACTAGACTGGTAAGTGCAACAAAGAAGCAAACTTGAAACAATAATCTTTGATTACAAAATACAACCTTAATATCTTGTGGCAAGCGCAATAAGGTACTGCAGCCTCAGCCAGGAGAAAAAAAAATAGAACAGGATGGATTTTAGTTTATAGTCAGTAAGAGTCTGACACTAAGAAAGTATATAAGTACCTATCTATAAATATATATAGAAACAAGGTTGATAAACAAATATATAATGTAGGTACACTCTCATACATACACATAATAGTATACATACATATTGTATGTATAATCATTGTAACCACTAGTCTTCCAGGATTCAAAACAGAATAGAAAACACATTGTGTCTAAAAGATTATGGCAAACCCCTCCTATGTAAGTAGAGGAGGCACATTATTCAACAGTAGACTAACACAGGCTATAAATTAGATTTGAAAAAAGCCATTAAATGACTTCTCCCTTAAAAAAAGAAAACAAATAATCCCAAGTGAATGCCGGTGTCACACATCTAATATTATGTTGTCTATTGTGTTTCAATTATCAATGATTGGAAGGATAAGCATACTTACAGAGTTTCATTAAAATTTGTTTCAGTAATTTTCATACTTTTTTTACTTGAAAGTTTATATGAAAAGTCTTGTCTTGTAAACACTTTTAAATAAGACAATATTTTATAGAATCAGATGTAATGACTTGGATTCTTGTATGATTGTTTGACACAGTTAATATGTGCAAAATTGAGTGCAGAAAGTAAGAGAAATCTAAATATTAAGCTTACGTATACGTATTTCTTCTTTATTACTTCCCTAAGTATCGTGTGATTGCTATATTCTCGTTTTGTTTGTCACCATTTACAATAATTCTATCTTGCCACGGCCAGCTACATCTGATTGCAGTTGCGAAATAACTATAAATACGATTGGAAAGTAAATATTTCCTAATTTTTTAGGACGAAAATAAACGAAAATAAAACTCACGGTAAAATCCACTTGTGTGATTTTCGACATCGCTACAGAGTAATTTCTTTTGTTTTAGAGCACATTATTTTAATTATATCACTGATAGTTACTAAACTCTTTTGTTACCTATAACTTAAATATATTACTGCTTGCAAAATGCAATTATAAATTTGTTGATGCCAAAGTACTATAAAAACTCGAATCGAAAGGTGAAGTCGAAGGATTAGTAATGTTTTCGAAAATATTATTTTATTGTTTTTTTTTCTATTTTCTTAAGGTTTCAAGTAATATAATTCTTATTGATGTTGTTATTATAAATTGGTTGTGTTCGAGAATGGATTTATTGTTCGAAATAGTTTCATTTATTACCCAAAACAAAAATGAGTTAAGCGCGACTTTTGTTTACATAGTACCTACAAATTAACATTGACACTGACATTTGACAGCACAGCGGATGCGACGCCGGCAAAATGACTGCGATCATTTTTAGATAGAATGCCTGGCATCTTTAATCTGAGCAATCATTTACACGTTATCAGAAACAATTATTTGTGAAACAATCATTTAATAAATATATTTTGGCGGTAACTATTAAATGACTCACCATCTTATATTTATCCCAAAAACAAAACAATGATTTGGCTTATTTCTGATAATAAAATACGAACGCAGCTGTACCAAATGCCAAACTTGTTTGGGTAATCGTTTACTTCATTAATTGTAATTACAAAATAAAAACACCAAGAAAGAGGCGATAGAAATAAAAACAACACATAAAAAGTGATAAAAAATACTTCTTATAATAACTAATAAAACACATATACATTATTCAAAAAACATCAAAAATTTCTCTCAATTCAGTATAATCAAAAACATTTACTAAAGAAATAGAAATAAAATAAAATAAATTAATATTTAACGAAAACCTTACAGGATTCAGTATCGTTTATTGTTTAAGTATATTTAATAAGCGCAATAAACTATATTCTATATTAGAACAGTGTAACATTAATACTAAACAAAAAAATAAAAAATATTATAAATAAATAATATGGAAAGGTTCTCACTCTGTAGAATTTGTTTATCGGATAACGTTCGCATGTATTTAGTAGCTGACAAGAAGCTGCAGGAACTATATGAAAGGCTCACAAATACTCCAGTAAGTAAAAAAAAAAGTAAAATTTTCTTAATTAGTAGTCTACAAGTTTTTTTTTAATTTCTGTTTCATTAGGTATATGAAATGGTTGCTTTATACTGTTAATATAAACAGCAGTAGTTTATATTTATTTAAGTTATGCAAAAAATTAATGTGTCTTATGGCTTTAATTTCTCCACTATTTAATGGATGTTATTATACATATAAAACTCACTCTTAAAACACTACCTTTTAAAAAGAGCATTGGAATCTGTTGCATAGTTTTTAAGATTTAAGCATACATAGGAGCAGGGCTAACAACTTTATTTTCATACTATATATCTATGACATTCACTAAGGATAGTGCAGTTTCCCAATAGTCAAAGATATTCACAAATCAGCCAAGTACTTTCGAATTGTCAGCCTATGAGAACTCCTTGCTGAGCAAAGGCCTCTTCCGACATACATGAAGAAGGTTTGATGAATGCTCAAACTGAATGTCAGTGGCTGAATGTGGATTGCCAATTTAAAGCATAAGAAATTATCAGTTATAGTTTTCTCACATTTTTTTCTTTCACCACACTCACTCACTCATATTCATCATCATCATCTTCCTGCCCTTGTCCCATTTTATTTGGGGTCGGCGCAATACGTTTTTTTCTTCCATTCTGTCCTGTCACTCGTCACACTATCGCTAACTCCTCTGTCTTCCATATCACTTCTCACACAATCCATCCATATTTTCTTTGGTCTCCCTCTCCCTCTCCATCCACATTTATACTCATGGCTTTTTTGTAACATGCTTTTCATCCCTCACTCACTCATATTATGGTGTATAAATATGCTTAGAAAGTACATATAACTCGACAAGTAAAACAACAAAAGATTTCTAACTTAAACACTTCTTTTTAAACCTACCTCTCACCTTCTCCATTTGAGAAAAGGCCTTTTGCTCAGTAGGCTTACACTTATAGGCTTTTTTTGTGAGGGAAAAATCTAAACTTAAACCCCAGCTGAACATTGCCCCTGTTGTATCCCATCTGTGTTGGTCTGTAGGCTCTTTGAGGCTCTCTGCGGCACTTTAAGACTTTTCTCGCCCAGGATGAGGAGAGAGGGGATGTCATACTCTTACTGACTCCTGAATGACCCTCATATTCAAGCCCCTGCTCTCAATCAAAGCTGTGGTACCCAATTACGGTAGCCCCGCAAGCCCAGCTGAGGGAACTTTTAGGCTGATAATCTATATTTTTTTTATGTAATAGGTCGGCAAAAACAGACGGATTACCTGATGGTAAGCAATCAGCGCCGCCTATGGAGGAGTTACGAGTGCGTTGCCGACATTTTAGGAATTAGGGATTTGGAGATTTAGGGATTTGGAGAATTAGGTATTTGGAGATTTAGGGATTTGGAGATTTAGGGATTGGGGGAGGAGAAGGATTGGGCCTCCGGTAACCTCACTCACACGGTGAAACACAACGCTGTGGTTGTTTGACGCTGTGGTATCTCTCCGGTCGAGCCGACCCATTCGTGCCGAAGCTTGGCTCTCCCACACAAATGATATCTATGATAAGTATTAAAAACTCTTTCAGTTTGTTACTCAAGACAATAGACCATTATCAGCCTGCTTCTTCTGCTACGCCAAGCTGAAACAATGTTGTTGGTTTATGCAGAAGTGCAAGGAAGGCGAGGAGTTGTTCTATCAAATGCTAAACGGAGATTATGAGGTGAGTTATCGGAGTTGTACCTCTTGTACAACTGTGTAGTTTCCTAGGTCAAAAATAAATTAATTCGATGTTTCAATACAATAAAATATTGAAAAATAACTATACTTTTATTCATCGATCGATCGATACACCAAGTTTTAGATTGTTTTTTAGCTAATTATTGTGAAATAAGTAAGCTATTTGACGCAAAAATGTTATGACGTCATAGCTCAGTTTTTCATAGGTACAAATTTCATAGAAAAGTATCGTTTTAGACGTTTGGATAAAAGTATTGAATTTGAATAGTTGGAAACTAGCGTAGGTATTTGATGAGCTTGTTTTTCTTAGAAAATATCTCTACCTAATTAGAAAACAAGATTTATCATTAACAACATATTATTAAACTGGTATAACGCGAAAAGTACGTTAGTACTTGGTTTCAGTCTGCGACCATCGTGACGTCGTCGATTCTATAAAATTTGTTTGTATTTGAATCTTGATCTTTTGGACAATGAAACAATGAATTTATTTTTGCAAATAGGCCATAAAACGGCACTTTTACACGTCAAATTATATGTGACAAACTAGATGAAGCCGGCATTTCCTATCTGACTACTCTGAGAAGAAATGCCGAAACAAACTCAGAGGTCAGTCTCTTTTCAAGTCCAGACAATGTAAAATAACATAATGTGAGGACGTTTAGGTATTGGTAAGAATTGAGTCTCGTTAACCTCACTCACACGGCGAAACACAACATTGAAACGAGATAAAGCTGGCATTTCCTATCTGAGTACTCTGTGGTTGATCCACCCCAGTTTTCTGTGAGGCCGAGGAGAAAATTAAATTTTTGGGCTACCACATCAAAAAATGCTATGCGATCTGTTTCAGCAAAAACCATTGAAATTAAAACCGGTACACTATGGTGGTTATATAAAAACTGCAGTACAGCATATAGACACCAATGACCTGGACAGCGTCATCAAGGAGGAAGCAGCTGAAAGCCTCAGAGCTGATACGGAGATGAAGGAAGAATGTCATGGCGATGGTATGTCACTTTACTTGAGACTAGCTTGAAAAGTACCGCATGTGCTATTCCAGAATGTTCCGGGTCTGGGTGTGATGTGTATGTGAAATTGTATGTTTGTAAACGCACCCACAATACAGGAGAAAACCCAAGTTTTTTTTTTGTCAGGGGAAAATCATCCAGTGACTTCTCCCGCCCAGGGTAAGGCGAGAGTGTCAGACTCTTACTGAATAAAAACCACCCCGTTTCTTCTCCTGCACTGGGCCGACGTCGCGGTGCCTCATTGCGCTAGCCCCGCAACCCCGGCTAAACATCAGCCCTATAGGGCCCCGTCTGTGGTGGTCTATTGGCTCTTTGAGGCGCGCGCCGAACGCTCGAGAAAATCCAAGTGTGGGGCAACGTTTAAAAAAGTTAGTCCGTACCGCTGGGCAAAGGCCTCTCCTTACACGGAGAAGGTTTGAGTAAATAAATATAAATTACGCTCACTCAAGAAATAAAAAATTAAAGGACTTATCTCCCTGCTAGACCAAATGTATCACAGGACATATAAGTGGAACTCTCCACACCAGGAACAATAACCAATTTAATATATGTAATTTTCTCAAAACTGCTGCAATCGGAGCTCATCATTAAAGCCCCGTTGTGGCTTGAAACTAGTCGAGAAATCCTCGAAACAAAAACAATACTGCAGGATTACTTACCACCATCACCCTATAAGCGTTATTATGAATACTTACAGAAGCATCACAAGATATGGATAACACCTTCTCGTTACCAGAAGACTTGCCCCAACATTCCGATTCAGAAGATGATTTACCTTTAATGAAGTTTAAGACTGAAGCTGAAGAAGATAGAGAAATTGTTCCCAAGAAGAGAATTAAGAAGAGAGGTGAGAGTTTATTTTCTTTATTTTTTTTAGTTAATATTGATTTTTCCTTTAATGGTTGGAAAGGGAGGGAGTGTCAGACTCTTACTAAAAATAACTTTTTTACTTTTTCTCTGACAAAAAAATCCCGTTCTTTTTCCTACTTTTTTTTTTGTGAGGAGGAAATCATCCAATGACTTCTCTCGTATTCATTCAGGGTGAACCGAGAGGGAGTGTCAGACTCTTAGAGACTTTCACACTAACTTGCAACAGAAAGCGGAAATATCTGTTTTTCACATACAGCGCCAACTTTTTTAAATACATCTCGTGGTGAAACGGAGTTCTCTGGGATTGCTAGTTATACATATAAACCTTCCTCTTCAATCACTCTGTCTATTTAAAACCGCATCAAAATCTCTTGCGTAGTTTTAAAGATTTAAGCATACATAGATATGCATATAAAGACTTTGAATTTTGACTGCACGGTCGGTGCGGTGGCTGGGCAACCGACTGCCTGGTTCGATTCCCGCACGGAACAACTCTTTGTGTGATCCACAAATTGTTGCTCCGGGTCCAGACCCGGACACACCCAGGTGTGATGTGTATGTAAATTTGTAGGTTTGTAAACGCACCCACGATACAGGAGAAAATCGTAATGTGGGTCAACGGTTTATATAAAAAAAAGAGTGGGACCTCTGAGTTTGTTTCGGCATTTCTTCTCAGAGTAGTCAGATAGGAAACGCTGGCTTCATCTAGTTTTTCACATATAAATTGACGTGTAAAAGTGCCGTTTTATGGCGTATTTGCAAAAATAAATTCATTGTTTTATTGTAGGGATAGAGAAAGCTAATTAGTTTTATACTATGTAGTGATTGGATTATGAATTTATATTTAATTTTCCAGTGCGCAAACCGGATTGCAGCGAAATAATACTATCAAAAGAGGAACAGATACAAAATTTGCAAGCTAGATCTAAATCTATGAATTACATAAATTCTCCGTATAAGTGCAGTTATTGTTTTAAAGGATTCGTCGATGTAAGGGCTTACGGTAACCATAAGTTGAAGCATGATGTGGTAAGTCTAGCATTATCTAAATTCTTAATTTAAAAATTCAAATATAAAAAATGTGTTGGCTCGACCAGAGTGATCCCACGGCCTCACAGAAAACTGGCGTGAAACAACCACATACTCACACGGCGAAACACAACGTTTCGCCGTGTGAGTGAGGTTACCGGAGGGCCAATTCTTCCCCTGCCGAAATCCCTCCCCAATCCCTAAATCTCCCAAATCCCTAACCCCCAAAAGGTCGGCAACGCACTCGTAATTCCTCTGTTTTTGGTGTCCATGGGCGGCGCTGATTGCTTACCATCAGGTAATCCGTCCGCTCGTTTGCCGACCGCTCACATAAAAAAAATGTCTCACGATAGTTATTACCTATAAAAAAAGATTACATTTTTTTTACTTTTGACTTTTGACCTTGACCTTTTACTATTCTAGCGAAGCGGTCCCCATGTCTGTGACATCTGTCAGATGAGGTACCGTTCACAGCAACTACTGCGAACCCACGCGAATAATGCCCACGTCAGGATTTATAAGTGTAATAAATGTGGATACATATCGCATACTGGGTGAGTATTTTTTCTTATGATACTGGGCGTATGGGACAGCGTCCCGCAAACTGATAGGGGTTGCTCAGTCAACGAAACTGAACAACTATCACCAGGAATTTTTTTCAGGAAACGAAAAAATTAGTATGGAAAATCAAAAATTTTTTTTTCGTTTCCTGGAAACAGTACCTGGTTATAGCTGTTCAGTTTCGTTGACTGAGCAACCCCTATCAGTTTGCGGGACGCTGTCCCTTACACCCGGTATGTATACTAGCTATTCTCGCGTGGTTTTACCCTCTGCTCGGCTCAATTTGATCGTAGCGTAAAGTTTTATAGCCTATAGCACTCGGGAACATTGTAGCTATCTATCAGTGAAAGAATTTTGGCAATCCGACCAGCGGTTCCAAAGATTACCCCCTACATATAAACTTACAAATTTTACCTCTTTATAATATTACGCGAGAGTAGCTAGTAATGATGATATAGGGACAGAGAAAGCGACTTTGTTTTATACTATGTAGTGATTTACTTGTAATATTCTTATTCTTTTTACAAATATTGTTTCAGTAACCAAGCGAGGATTCATGAGAAATGGCACAACGGACATACATACGAGTGCCAACTTTGCAGTCACACATTCAGGTAATCTTAATATCTTACTAATCTTCTATATATATAAAAATGGATTTAAAAATGTGTTGGTAAGCGCATAACTCAACAACGCCTGGACCAATTTTGCTAATTCTTTTTTGTTGTATTTTTTATTGTCAGGAGAAGGTTCTTATCAAAGAAAATATTAGAAAAGTAGAGGGGAAGATTAGGAAAAAGTGACCCTTTGATAGCGAGATGGTTGGACCCGTGCGAAGCGGGGGCGGGCCGCTAGTACTAATAATATCAATGTTAGTACTTATAATCCAAAGTAATATTATAAATGGTAAAGTAACTCCGTCTGTCTGTCTTTTCTTCACGCCTAAACTACTGAACCTATCTATGTAAAATTTGGTACAGACTTTGCAACTCTCAAGAAAGGGCATAGGATAGTTTTTATACCAAAAATCTGCAGGAAGTCACTATTCTACGCGAACAAAGTCGCGGACACAAGCTAGTATTATTACAAGTGCGAAAGTTTCGATGTTTGGATGTTTGTTACCCAATCACGCCAAAACGGCTGGACGGATCTGGATGAAATTTGGCACAGGCATAGTATACACTCCGGAATATAGACTACTTTTCATCAACATACCACGCAGGCGAAGACAAAAAGAAAGAATTATGAAAAAAAAAAACAAAAAATTTTAGTATTAAAACCTTAATTTACTTACATAAAGTTGTAATAGAAGTCGCTAACAAGAACAGCTTGTATTAGAAGGCTCCACTCTTCCTTATAAACTATAGCTTCCGCCCACGGCTTCGCCCGCGTGGTATGTTGATTAAAATAAAACTGGCCTATGTGTTAATCTAGTATGTAATTACCAAATTTCTTCATACCAAAATTTCAACCAAATTGGTCCAGCCGTTTTTGCATAAAAGAATAACAAACAAACATACATTACAGTACATACATTCTTACAAACTTTCACATTTTTAATATTACCTAGTACGATAGTTAGTAGGTTTTGTGTGACTCTTTGGGCCTTCGCTAACCTCATTCACTCGTCGAAACACAACGCTGTGATTGTTTCACGCCGGTTTTCTGTGAGGCCGTGGTATCAATCCGGTCGAGATGACGCATTTGTGCCGAAGTATGACTCTTCCAAACTTATTTTTTTTTTGTTTTTAAAAAACGTTGCCCCACATTAGGATTTTTTCCTGTGTCGTGGGTGCGTTTACAAACATACAATATCACATATACATCACACCCAGACCCGGAACAACAATCTGTGAATCACACAAAGAGTTGTTCCGTGCTGGAATCGAACCCGCGACACGTTGCGCGGCAGCCAGTTGCCCAGGCACCGCGCCAACCGTGCAGTCAAAACGTACCGTATAGTACGGTCGTCGTATCTTGGCGAGTCTGAAGTTAGCCGTTTGTCTGCGCAATGGATCTTTTAGGAACAAAATTGTGTACTGCGCAGCTAATCGGCTAACTTCAGACTCGCCAAGATACGTCGGCGGTATTGTATAGATAGATGAATGGATTTATATATTTTCAGGAAACCGACCTCCTACCTATCTCATATGAGGAAAAGACATCCCACAGAGCATGTTTGTAACATATGTGGCGACAGCTTCGTAGGTAAACATGGACTACAGATGCACAAGAAGAAAACACATTTGGATAGCGAAAAGGTATTTTTTTTATTTACTTATATGCCAAGACTAGCTACTCTCCCGCGATTTCACCCGCTGCTCGACTCCATTCGATCGTAGCGTGATGTTTTATAGCCTATAGCACTCGGGAACATTGTAGCTATCTATCAGTGAAAGAATTTTGGCAATCCGACCAGCGGTTCCAAAGATTACCCCCTACATACAAACTTACAAATTTTACCTCTTTATAATATTAGTAAGCCAGATTTCGGTCCCCCACCATCATAATTTTTTTGAGGGGGTAAAATATTCATCTGGTCTTCATAGGGCAAGGGGGAATGTCAGACTTACTGACTAAACCCCCCGTTCCTTCTCCTGCTTTACGCCGAGGTCGTGGTGCCTCATTGCGCTTGTCCCGCAACCCCGGCTGAACATCAGCCCTATAGGGCCCCGTCTGTGGTGGTCTATTAGCGTTTTTCCAGGTCTAGGTGTGATGTATATGCTTCTAAAAGCACCCACGACACCGAACAAAATCTTAGATTAGGGGCTTCTTCCAAAAGGACAAAATAGTATCAGGAAAACATTTTTGCAGATGCCTGATCCAGATAATCCCGAAGATCCCGCCACAGGGAGATTCTGTAAGGAATGTAATATACAGTTCTATAGCTTAGACGCTTGGAAACGTCACATTTTGAGCTCCATCAAACACACTCTAAAAACTGAAGAAAGGTAAGTTTAAAAAAATATATAGGTCCATCATCATCAGCCTATAAGTGTCCACTGCTGAGCAAAGGCCTCCTCTCACACGAAAAAGGTTTGAGCATTAATCACCACGCTTGCTCAATGCGGATTGACGATCAATCTTATAATTAGAAATTATCTCACGATGTTTTCCTTCACCGTATGTCAGTGGTGTCTAAATAATCATAGAAAGTACATATAACTCGGTAAATGTCACATTGGTACTTGCCAAGTTTCGAATTGTAAAATCATCTTACATACTTTCTCTCTCACACACACTCTTTCTCTCACTCTCTATCTCTACGTATCTTAAAAATATTTTTGTTTTACAGCACAAATTGTACAATATGCCAGTGGAAATATTCAGGTAATGTGTCCCTAGAGACACATATGAAGGATCACGCGAAAGCTATGAGGAGGGCGCGCATACCCCCCTCTGGGAGTAAGGAAAGAAACTTTAGGTGTCAACAGGTAAGATTTATTTATTTTAAGCTAATACGGATTAGATCCAATGACATTTAACAACAAAGTTAAAATCAAAATCATATTTATTTCAATTAGACCAGGCACTTTTGAAGGTCAAACAAAGCTTAAACATAAAGTGTCAGTCAGTCGGTCAGTCCTCTTAGTGAAGCTATTTGCTCGTTCCAAAGTGTAGATTCCGATGGAGAAGAACGAGCAACAAACTCCATGGTTACTCTTTTTCAATTTGACTGCACGGTTGGCGCGGTGGCTGGGCAACTGGCTGCCGTGTCGGTCGCGGGTTCGATTCCCGCACGGAACAACTCTTTATGTGATCCACAAATTGTTGTTCCGGGTCTGGGTGTGATGTGTACGTGAAATTGTATGTTTGTAAACGCACCCGCGACACTGGAGAAAATCCTAGTGTGGGCAACGTTATTTAAATAAAAAAAAAAACAGTTTTTCCGGAGTGTTACCACGGCCTCACAGAAAACCGGCGTGAAACAACCACAGCGTTGTGTTTCGCCGTGTGAGTGAGTGAGGGGGCAAGAATCTCCATGGTTACTCTTTTGAAATCAGTTTCACATATACAGATTCTTTAGTAAACTCAGTGTTTTCCATTACAGTGTGGTTCAAACTTTGTGACGCGATCGAAACTACAGAGTCATATAAACAGAACGCATTTGGGGCTGAAATACAACAAGAATATTGTCTGTGAAGTTTGCGGGAAGAAATGTACGGTGAGTTATTCTTTTTCAATTTTACAAGGCTTCTAGTTTTTGGTTAAAAGACTAGAGAGTTTGAGATTTTTACTTCAGTAAAACCTCTTTTTTTAACATAGGTAATACGGTAGTTTCCAACTAGTCAAATTCAATACTTTATTATTCAAATGTCAAAAATGATACTTTTCTACGAAATTTGTATAAAAAACTGAGTTATGACGTCATAGTATTTTTTCGTCAAATAGCTTACTCATTAAAATACGAACTCGACTGGTTATGACGAAATAAGTACCAAAGTATTAAAAATATGCGCTGCCAATATAGCATCACCTCTATGCTACATTATAAATATGTCCCTAAGCGAAGGAACTTTCCCAAATCGTCTGAAAAAATCAATCGTCAAACCGCTACACAAAAAAGGGGTAAAATCTGACATGAGTAATTATCGACCAATCACCTTAATCCCCATTTTATCAAAAGTATTCGAGAAAATAATGTGTAATAAAATAGAGAACTTTTTGACATCGTGTGACATCCTTAAAAAAGAACAGTTTGGATTTAGAAAGGGGAGATCCACTGCTTCAGCTTGTTTTTCACTAGTTACTCAAATAACCGAAAACCTAAACAGAAAATCCAAAACAGGATGTGTCTTTCTAGACATGACAAAAGCGTTTGACTTTGTCTGTCATAAAATATTACTTTCCAAACTTTCTAACTATGGAATCCGCGGGAAAGCCAATGATTGGATCAAAAGCTTTCTTACCAACCGGGAACAATGCGTAGAAATAACAAGAATGTGTAAAAATGAACAAAAACAATATAGATCAAAATACAGAACGAACCGCTTCGGAACACCACAAGGAGGAATTTTATCCCCGGTTTTCTTTCTAGTATACATCAACGACCTACCAGATGCTATTAATGAAGAATGCATTCTATTTGCTGACGACACAACCTTAATTATTAAAAGCAATGATAACAAAGACTTACAAAACCGAATAGTTAAAGCATTAGACAAAACAATCAAGTGGCTAGAAACAAATAATTTAAAAATTAACATGACAAAAACAAACATAATACAATTCCAAGCATCCAACACAAACACAGATAATTTAGTAATTCAATATAACAACTCCGTCCTAAACACTATGAATGAATGTGTATTTTTAGGTATAACCGTTGATAGAAACTGCAGCTGGAAGCCACACGTAGAGAAAATACTTAAAAATATTGATCGATTTGTGTATGTCTTGAAAAGAATAAGACAAACGGTTAACATAAATAGCGCAATGGTGGCTTACCATGCTTATGTAGCATCTTTACTAAGATATGGTCTTATTATTTGGGGCAACTCAGTAGACGTAGAAAGAGTCTTTAAAGGACAAAAAAAGTGTATTCGAGCAATGTGTGGAGCTCACTTTTTGGATAGCTGCAAACCGCTGTTCCAAAAACTTAAAATACTACCTTTGCCAAGTCTCTACATATTTGAAACATGCATGTTTGTAAAAAAAAATTATGATTCATTTGTTAAAAGTAACTACAAAACTAATAGTAGAGTATGTCACAATTACAAATTAAAATTGCCGCAAATAAAATTAATGCTATATAAAAGAAATATTTACTGCATGGCAATTATTATTTATAACCATCTGCCAAATAATATTCAAGATTTGCCATCGTCGTTGTTCAAAAGGGTTTTATTTAAAATGTTACTAGAGAAAAAATATTACAGTGTTAAAGAATATTTAGAGGATAAATCGCTAGTAACATAATACATAATATTTATGTAAAAATAGGCTTTGCCATATCTAACAGTGACATAATTATCAAACATTAATGACATTCTTATGACCAATTTAATTCAATTTTAATCTTCATTACAATAATATTTATATGTGACATGGCAATCTTAATTCTTAATTCTTAAAAAATTCTTAATTAATTCTTAATCTTTATTTTAATAATATTTACAAAACCAATACAGCAACTTTAATCCTATAAATAATATTGACATTTTATTAATTTGTATTATACAGAAATATTTGTACGCCATAGTATGGCAGGATATGCTGGAATCAAAACTGTAACATCTATTGTACCATATTCTGACAAATAAACATTTTTGATTTGATTTTTTTTGATCATTTCTTAAAAATTAGCTACAAAATATCTAAAATTCAGTGTATCGATCTATCGTTGAATAAAAGTATAGTTATTTTTCAATATTTCATTGTATTGAAACGTTGAATTAATTTATTTTTGAACTACCTAATTACGCGGCTATCAACGCGGAAAATAATTATTTAAATACCTTGGTAGGCTTGACGTTTCGACCTGGTTGCACAGGTCGTGCTCGCAAGCAGACTGAACACAGCTTTCTGCATTCGGGCGATAAATTTTCATCTACCCCCTTATTTTCTACCATATTAGGCCTTCTACACACTACGCTGACCGTATCCTACCAAGGTCAGCCGGGGTTGCGGGGTAAGCGGAATAAGGCAGAGCAGGAGAAGGAACAGGGGGGTTTTTAGTCAGTAAGAGCCTGACAATCCCTCCCGCCCGGCCCTGGGCGGGAGAAGTCATTTGATAATTTTCCCCTCACAAAAAACAAAAAATCCTACCAAGGTATTTAAATAATTCTTTTCCGCGTTAATACCCGCGTAATTATATGTTGCAAATAGGCTGCCAATGATCGTCTCTATGTCGTATCTTTTTCTTTTCCAGTCAAACGCCACCCTCAAATATCACCAGCGCACTCATACTGGGGAAAAGCCATACTCCTGCACGTCATGTTCCAAGCACTTTGTGGATAGCAACCAATTGCGAATACACACGCGAACCCATACCGGCGAGAAACCTTACGTGTGTGCCGCTTGTGGGAAGCGGTTTAGTCAGAAACCGGCCTTAAATCGACATTACAGGGTAGGTATATTCAATTTTTATTAATATTGTTAAGAGCATGGTACCTAAGCTGTACAGTGCGGCCGACGTATCTTGGCGAGTCTGAAGTTAGCCGTTTGTCTGCGCAATGGATCTTTTAGAAACAAAATTGTGTACTGCGCAGCTAATCGGCTAACTTCAGACTCGCCAAGATACGTCGGCCGCAATGTACTGAAAATTTCTAATGAAAAGTGAGGTTATTTATTTTACCCACATACTTTTTTAGACATTGATTATATTGCGTACCTATCGTGATTTCTGACTTGTAAGTTTGTACGAAAACCGTAAGCGTAAACAACACATTAACTATTTTTTTAACTTTTCGAAAATAACGACCTACTCACGTGAATAACCTGAGAAAAGCTCTACTAGTTTCGCGTCACGACGGGTTTTTCAGTTCGTTCGTGTGAGTAAGTCGTTATTTTCAATTAATTTAGTATGTCTCACGATAATTACTATTTAACAATTTTGAAATTATGGATTTACTAACTGGAAAATTTAATCAGAAATGATTAGTGAAAGAAAGAGAACTGTACCGAGGGAGTGGGATGGCAATATCCGGCTACTTCCGTGTGCCATTATTTGCCGTGCCAAGCCCATACATTTTTATTTTTCTTCTAAGTTGCGCTAGGCTGTTAAAATGATCAAATTTATCAAATTCACAATTGGCGCCAAAATAACGTCATATAGAACACAAATAGAGTTGACACCATTGCCCAACTATACGTAAATAAAAATCGACTAAACTATTTTTTTTCTCAGGTACACACTGGCGCGAAACCCTACACCTGTCAATATTGTTCTCGGACATTCAGCCAATCGAATTCGTTGAAACTTCACGTGAAGACTGTACATTTAAAACAGCCGGCGAACAGAAAGAGTAAATCTAAAACTTCGTTTGAAACGAAAATTGAGAAGAACGCTGAAAATCATGAAAATACTGAAGAATTACAGATTGATGGCAGTTTACAGGCTATAAGAGCTTTTACACGATAAATAGAACACGAAAGTGATTTTTTTTATGTGTACCACGTATTAAATTATAGTAATTTATTAATTTATACTAATTTATTAAATAAATTAATCCATTTGTTTGATCCCGCAACTTCGCCCCAAGTGGTCAAAATAATAGTAGGTATATGATATTACCGTTTCTTTTCACGAAGATTTATAATTGCAGTGATAATTTTTAAGTTACTTGCTTTTCAATTATCTGATATTATTATGTACTATTGTTTTATTTTAACCTCGCAGAGCACTGGCTTGAAAAAAGACTCAAGTTGTGTTTCGCCGTGTGAGTGAAGTTATTATTGGAGGCTCAATTCTAGCCTCCCCTCCCCCTCTAACCCGCTATTCCTAATCCTCGAATTGGCTTAAACCCACAAAAGGCTGGCAACCCACTATAGTAATTTTGGTATTTGCAGATCTCCATGTACGTTGGTAAGATTACTATAAACCAGTCGAAAGATTAAATAGGTACTCTCCATCAGGTAATCCGACTGGTAGCCGAACGGCTAACGACCAGACGGATTATTGTCCGTGTACTAAAAAGATATGAAGCGCATTTAGAAATTGTTTGTAAATAAACACCAGGCGTGAGGCTCCAGATAGTAAAATTACTATTGATGCTTGGGTTTTATACCCTCTACATCTTCACAAAATCCCTATATAACTAAAAAGTAAATAAAAAAATTGAACAAAGACATACAATATTAAGTACGCAGTATTGAAGGCTAAAATATTTTAACCCTGTATCATATCTAATTCAAACTAGGAAAAATAATATTTCGAGCCATTTAAACCGATTTTATTACTAATGATCGAAAACCGTAATACCGTTTAAGAATTAAAATGATTGTTGTAGTAAAACTCAATAATAAGGTGGTTCGACTACAAAAGGCAAATGCTAGGTACAAGTATTCACTTATTCAAAATTGAATTCAACATTTTTAAATATTTGTAAATTTACGAAGCCGAAGTGAAAGATACATAAAGGCAAAAATCGACTAAATAATTTAGTAACATTATCTGCACCCAACTCTAGCGATTAACAAATGTCACTCAAATAGTCAAATACCAATCAAAGCAATTTAAAAAAAAAGTTGTGTAAACGATCTTATTATTATTGTTTTGCTACGAATTATTTGTTTTATTACGTGAACTACACAAAATATGTCCGCAAAATAAGTAGATAAGTTACAATAGAACTTCCATTAACACATCAAAACAGTCAAAACTCAATAAAATTGTGAAATTACGGTGATGTAAACAGATTTATAAACAGTGTAGTTCAACAACAAAAATTTTAATCGGTTGAAATGTTACCGATTTTGATGTATAATAATATGGAAGGGAGTTCTAATTCGTTGAATAATACGCCTAATACTAGTTTTAATCAATATGATGATAGTATTATTTTGAATTGTGTTAGAAATCGTAAGAAAGTGACGGAATTACCGAATTGTCCGGTCTGCAGTTGTACTATTAGACAAGGGGAATTGGACTCTCATTTAAGTTTGGAAGTGGAGAGATTGCAGAAATTGTCCGGAAGTGGGTCTAAAAGGAAGCTTAGTGTTAATTCTAGTGCTAACCTAGCTGTGCCTGGATCTAGTACTAGCCAAGATGTTCTTGAAGATGAAGTAGACGTATCCGGCTGTTTGGGCAGCGATGTTTACCAAGTAAGTTTTTCCTTTTTAGAAAAAAATAATGTTCCCGCCTTTTCACGTTTTTTTTCTTTCTCAAAAATATCTTTTATCTCTATTTAAATGGAATGTTATATGCTTGTATACATAATTAAAATTGAGTTAGGATCTTATATAACTATTTTAACATATTTTTTATCTCAACTTTATCTATTTTTTTTTTCTATTGGAGTTCAATGCTCTTTGCAAATAAATCTTCATGGATTTCAATATTAATTCAAAGTTAAATTTATTATATTTTAATAAGAATAAAAAGCATGCCAGAATCTCTTATTGATTGAGTAGACTCCAATGAGTGATCTTTAGCTAGCAGCCTTGCTAGCCTGATATAATGGATGTTGTCATTGTTTAAATAGATTGTATTCCTATAATATACTAAAGTATTTTTAAATAATATGTACTATAGTCCATTAGTTTAGGTGTTTAACTTAAAGTAAATAATGTTGGTATGTCTTTTTATATTAAAGAGCTCGTATAAAGTACATACAAAGATTATTTAAATTCAGTTTATTAGCTAACATCGATTTAGGTAAATAGCTGATTGTAAACATTTTGACATGTACAATTTTTAGATTAAATACATGCCAAGATTGTTAACATTTTGTTAATTACCTAGATCGAAAGATAATAGAATATTTTTGTAGCTAAATTAAAATAAATGTAGTACAATATTGATACTATAATAATATTATGGGAAGCTATTAATTGATACCTACAACAATTAATTGTGTATGGTGATAGAATTATGTCCTAGTTAAGTAATCTCATTCAAAATTTGTGCAAATGTATTATTTTTTGTTAATTCAAAGATATAATAATATTAAAAAGAGGAAAGATTTTATTGATTGTTTGTTTGTTTGTTTGAAAAGAGTAGGCTCTGAAACTACTTGACCGATTTGAATAATTCTTTCAATAGTTACATTATTCCCAGTGACTATATGCTATTAATTATGCTAGTAACGCTACACAGCTATTGTCTATAATCTTGTCCAACAGTGCTCTCAATTTAAATGTTTGCACTATTACAAGAATAGTTGTAATCAAAGTATAAAGCAGGAACAAACAAGTTAAATACCATCAAATTACTTCTCCCACCCAGGGTGAGGTGAGAGAGGGTGTTGGACATGGGCTAAAAACCACCCTTATTTCCTTTACCTGCCCCAGGCCCCAGCCTGCCTTAATCTGTTCATTGAAAAGTGCATGGGTGTTTATTCGTAAACTGGGCAAATAAATATTTTAAATATTTCGTAAGAAATTCTAAAAACCAATTAGCCTAATCTACCGCTGCACAAAATTAAAAATCCATTAAAATAAACTTTATTATATAAAAAACGTTTTTATAGTTCTTCTAAACCAGTCCCCTGGCCAGTCACACAGCAGTCTGTTCCATTGAAGAGGAGTATAAAATGTAATTGAACTATGCTATTTTACTGCATATAGGAAATATGCATTTATTGTACGAATTTAAATATTTGAAGAATCATTAAAATACATAAATATAAATACACCTTATTTAAAATATAGACAGGGGACTGTTCCCAAAAAGCGAAGACAAAGTTTCATTGTTTTTTTTTTAGTTGTAAAATAATATTTATGCAAAATAAATGGGTCTCATGAACAAACAAACAATATTGAATTAATAATATAATAATTACATTAATTCCAATAGATACTGTCCCTGTCTGTGTAAACAGTCTCAAAAGTTAAAATGAGTTGCCCAGTTTACGGAGAAACCCGCATAATGATGGTCTAATATAAATAAATGATTTGACTCCGACTCTGAAATGCACAATTGTAAAATATGTTTCATTTGTAATTTCTGATATACTAACTCTTAAACTTTCGCGTTTCATATTTACAACATGTAATTACGCTGGTATTAATGCGGAAAATAATTATTTAAATACCTTGGTAGGCTTGACGTTTCGACCCGGTTGCACAGGTCGTGGTCACAAGCAGACTGAAGATGCGATGTCACAGCTGCCTGCATTCGGGCAATAAATTTTTTATCTACCCCCTTGTTATGTTGTAAACCTCTGAGAGCATCTTACCGAATAGAATTAGAGAAAAAAAAATATTAATAATATGTCTGTGAACAACAAATGGGTAGTTTCTTACGCCAAAAATTTATTATTAAGACTTTTCAATACGATAAACTGTTAAAATATCGACTATACCTTCATTCATTTTATTGCGAGATCCATGGGCCGCGCCGATGGTCACCATCGTGTAACCCGACTGCTCGTTAGCCGACATAAGCCATAAACTTTCCCGGGTCATTCTTAATTTATTGAAAACTAGCTTTTGCCTGCGACTCCGTTCGCGTGGAATAATGACTTCCTGTATATTTTTGGTATAAAAACTATCCTATGTCCTTTCTCGAGTTCCAAACTATGTCTGTACCAAATTTCACAGAAATCGGTTCAGTAGTCTAGGCGTGAAGACAGAGTCACTTTCGCTTTTATTTTTGTGTCATAATGTCGCCAAACGAGCAGACGGATTACCTGATGGTAAGCAATCAGCGTCGCCCATGGACACCAGCAACGGAGGAGTTACGAGTGCAGTTTTGGAGATTTAGGTATCGGGGATGGGGAAAGATTAGGCCTCCGGTAACCTCACTCACACGGCGAAACAACGCTGTGGTTGTTTCACTCCGGTTTTCTATGAGGCCATAGTATTACTCGGGTCGAGCCGATCCATTCGTGCCGAAGCATGGCTCTCCCACACTTAATAATTTATAATATTAGTTTGGATAACGACTTACTCATGTTATAAAACGCTAACTGACTTCGCGACGTCGCCATGACGCGTACTCTGCTCGCAAATAAGAGTGCCGCTGTGACATGGAACTAGGAGAGCTTTTCTCAGTTTTTTTCACGTATGTAAGTAGTATAGAACTGCAGCCTAACGGAAAAACAAACCACCAACTGTAGCTGACGTCAGCCTGGGTTGTGGGGTGCAGTCATGCTCGCAAAGAGAGAGGCGGCCCGCGTGAGGGAGCAATCCTCCTCCTCACGCCCCAGCAGCCGCAACTGGCGACACTACGGGCGTCGGGGATCGAGGGACGATCTCCGGCCACCGTAAGTACGGGCCTGCGGTCGGCGAGTAAGGGCAGCTCGCCGCCCGACCAGAACCAGGCCCGAGCGTACGGCGCGTAGCGTTCCGCGCGCGCCTCAAAGAGCCAATAGACCACCACAGACGCGGCCCTAAAGGGCTGATGTTCAGCCGGGGTTGCGGGGTAAGCGCAATGAGGTACCGCGACCTCGGCACAGAGCAGGAGAAGGAACAGGGGGGTTTTTAGTCAGTAAGAGTCTGACACTCCCTCCTGCCCGGCCCTGGGCGGGAGAAGTCATTTGATGATTTTCCCCTCACAAAAAAAAAAAAAAAAAAAAAAAGCCTGGGTTGTGGGGTAAGCGCAATGAGGCTCCGCGACCTCGGCCCAGAGCAGGAGAAGGAACCGGGGGTGTTTTAAGTCTGTAAGAGTCTGACACTCCCTCCCGCCCGAAGTCATTTGACTGCACGGTTGGCGCGGTGGCTGGGCAACTGGCTGCCGTGCAACGTGTCGCGGGTTCGATTCCCGCACGGAACAACTCTTTGTGTTATCTACAAATTGTTGTTCCGGGTCTGGGTGTGATGTGTATGTGGATTTGTATGTTTGTAAACGCACCCACGACACAGGAGAAAATCCTAGTGTGGGGCAATGTTTAAAAATAATAGAATAGATTTTCCCCTAACGAAAAAAAAGTCTAGCCGAAAAAGAAACCGCGCAAAAATAGCTAAGGTAAATTTATTTTCTTTTACTTTCTAGCGGGTACACGCTAACCGTCTACGACGTCTCCGAGCCCGTCGTAGGAGCACCCCGCCCCTTCAACAAGGAGAGTGTCCCGTTTGTAACACCTCACTGCCTGTCTCGAGACTGCAGAGGCACGCACTACGATGTCTGAAGCGGACGGGCGCTGAATTGGATGAGGATGTACCGGATACCAGTTCCGAAGAAGGCAGCATTGATGTGGAGGTAAGCGGATATTTTTTCATCATTACGTAATATAAAACAAAGTCGCTTTCTCTGTCCCTATATCCCTATGTACGCTTAAATCTATAAAACAACGCAACAGATTTTTTGGTGCGGGTTTTTTCAATAGATTGAGTGATTGGAGAGGTAGGTTTATATGTATAACTAGCTAATCCCACGCGGTTTCACTCGCTGCTCGGCTCCATTTGATTGTAGCGTGATGTTTTATAGCCTATCTATAGCACTAGGGAACATTGTAGCTATCTATCAGTGAAAGAATTTTGGTAATCCGACCAGTGGTTCCAAAGATTACCCCCTACAGTAAGTTGAACAAGAAAAATAATACAACAATTAGGTACAAAGGCACAGCTTATTTCTTCTGAAATCTCTTCCAGCAGGCCTATTATGGAGAGTTAGAATAATCAGTTATAATAGTAGTCTAAAACAACCTTTTAAAAATATTTTTATGTTTTACAGAATGATGAGCCGTCCGGCGGTGGTTTCGGAGCGGAATACCAGTGGTGCGGCGAATGGCGAGTGCGGGCCACGGCTTTACAAGACTCGGAGGCGAGAGACGCCACTTGTGTCCGGAGAGCTTCCAACGATCAGGCTTTGGTAAGTCAGTTTACCATCAGGGTAGTTATGGAGATCCCAAAATGAAACGGATATTCGCCAATAGACTCGGGTTTTTTTTATGTAATAGGTCGGCTAATGAGCAGACGGATTACCTGATGGTAAGCAATCAGCGCCGCCCATGGACACCCGCAACGGAGTAGTTACGAGTGCGTTGCCGACCTTTTAGGAATTAGGGTTTTGGAGATTTAGGGATTGGGAAGGGATCGGGGAGGGCAAGGATTGGGCCTCCGGTAACCTCACTCACACGGCGAAACACAACGCTGTGGTTGTTTCACGCCGGTTTTCTGTGAGGCCGTGGTATCACTCCAGTCGAGCCGACTCATTCGTGCCAAAGCATGGCTCTCCCACACTTAGAGTGCTACGAGTACGGCCTCACTGAAAATCGGCCTGATAGTCACGCCGGTTTTCTGTAGTGTTTCGCCGTGTGAGTAAGGTTACGCGGTGCCCCATAGCGCTTACCCCGCTTAAAATCAGCCCTAAAGGGCCCTGTCTGTGGTGGTCTATTGGGTCTTCAAGGCGCGCGTGGAACTCTATGCTCCATACGCTCGGGTCAGGTTCGAACAAGGGTAGCTCGTTGTTCGCAGACCCGCGCTTATGGTTTTTTTGTTGAGTCAGTTATAAATAAATATTTTGTATATTTTCCAGGTGGTCGATGGCGATGAAGATACTGAATTATATGGTCCACCTCAATATTCCCCGTCTAGGATAGCTCCCGATGTAAGTATCAATACTATAACAACATCCATTAAATCCATTAAATTTCATAAAACAAAACTTAACAATCAAAAGAAGTCACATTGTCAGCCTATAAGTGCTTACCGCTGAGCAAAGGCCTCTTCTCACACGGAGAAGGTTCGAGCAGTAACCACCACGCTTGCTCAAGGCGGATTGGCGATGCCAAACTTATACTTAATTAGAAATTACACTTCATCACTGAATGAGATATGGTAAAGGAAAGCATAGTGAGGAAACCTGGACTTGTAATTTCTAATTATAAGTATGAAATCGCCAATTCGCCTTAAGCGGGTGTGGTGTGACGTTCAAACCTTCTTCTTGTGAGAAAAGGCCTTTTCTCAGCAGTAGGCACTTATAGGCTGATAATGATTCAAACTTTAAAAAAAATGTTGCCCAATCTTGAGATTTTTCCTGTGTTATGGATGCTTTGATAAACATATACTTCCACATACATATCACACCCAGACCTGGAACAACAATTTGCGGATCACACAAAGTGTTTTTCAGTGCGGGAATCAAACCCACGACACGTTACGCCGCAGCCAGTTGCCGATCCACCGCACCAACCATGCAATCTAATATGACAAATTAATTTGTTGTATTCTGTTTTCCAGGCAGATTTATCAATAGATGTGCCGACGGAAGCACAGACGGACAGTCAGACTGAAGCGGGAGAGAGCTCGGAGACAGAACGACAAGTGGCGACACCTAGCCACAAATGTAACGGACTAGTCGAGGCTAGTGCTGAAGTAAGTCATTTATAATCAACTACTCAACCGCTGCTCGGCTCCGTTTGATCGTAGCGTGATGTTTTATAGCCTATAGCACTCAGGAACATTGTAGCTATCTATCAGTGAAAGAATTTTGGCAATCCGACCAGCGGTTCCAAAGATTACCCCCTACATACAAACTTACAACACCTCTTTATAATATTAGTTTAAATATAAAATCAATAGGGTCTAATCTTTTTTTATGGTAAAGGTCGGCAAACGAGCAGACAATTACCTGATGATAAGCAAGCAATCAGCGCAGCATCATAGACACCCGCAACATCAAAGGAGTTACGAGTACGTTGCCGGCCATTTAGGGATGGGGTTTCGGATATTTAAGGATAAGGAAGGGATGGGGGAAGGAGATTAGGCCTCCGGTAACCTCACTCACACGGCGAAACCCAACGCTGTGGTTGTTTCACGCCGGTTTTCTGTGAGGCCGTGGTATCACTCCGGTCGAGCCGACCCATTCGTGCTCTCAGGCTTTACCACACTTCTTGTAAATGTTATGGAGGAGTGGAGTCAGTATTTTTTAATTTGTAAATTCATAATGACTAATTATTATAATTAAATATTTTCAGACTAGAATCCAGGCGTTGAAAGCTAGAATAAAAGAATTGGAAAGAAAAGCGAATGGCGGTGGAGAGGTAATTATTATTTTTCTTATGTGGGATCACTTAAACTCTTGGAAGTAAATATATGGCTATATTTAGCAGACGAAATCATAAAAATTAAAAATATCGACTTGACGCGCACGCTGTCTATGAATAAGAGTCCCATTGTAACTTGAAACTAGTAGAGCTATTCTCGGTTAATTCAAGACTCCTGCGCGGTTTCACCCGCTGCTCGGCTCCATTTGCGCTTAGCGTGATGTTTTATAGCCTATAGCACTCGGGAACATTGTAGCTATCTATCAGTGAAAGAATTTTGGAAATCCGACCAGCGCGCAGCGCTTCCAAAGATTACCCCCTATATATAAACTTAATTTTACCTCTTCTTATAATATTAGTATAGAAAATATATTTAGGTACTTTTTATTGTGAGTATCATGCTAGTTAATGCTCAACAAAGATAAAAATGTCGATACTTTATTTCTAAAACATACTTTCTCTGTCCCTATATCCCTATATGTACGCTTAAATCTTTAAAACTACGCAACGGATTTTGATGCGGTTTTCTTAATAGACAGAGTGATTGAAGAGGAAGGTTTATATGTATAACATTTATTAAATAGTGGAGACATTTAGTATTAGCATTGCACCCATGCTAAGTTGGGACGGGTCGCTAGTAAACTTCGGTTACCGGAGGCCCAATCCTTCCCCTACCCCAATCCCTCCTCAATCCCTAAATCTCCAAACCCCAAATCCCTAAAAGTCGGCAACGCATTCGTAACTCCTCCGTTGCGAGTGTCCATGGGCGGCGCTGATTGCTTACCATCAGGTAATCCGTCTGCTCGTTTGCCGACCTATTACATAAAAAAAAAACTATAAAAATAAATGATTTTACTAAAAATATATTTTCTTTTGATTTCAGATGAAATGTCTGATATGCTTGGAGCAGTATACCTCGCCGACTGTCTCCATACAATGCTGGCATGTCTACTGTGAAGTGAGTATAATAAAATAAATGACCTATTTTTATGTACTATAAAAGCTAACGAGCTGACATATTACTTGATTTTAACTTTTTATTTTGTGTCTTAAGTGCGACCTAGACACGAATAAATACTTTTTCTTTCTTTCTTTTTTTCAATGTGACTTTTTCCGAGTTGTATGTACTTTCTATGATTGTTTAGACACCAGTGACATACAGTGAAGGAAAACATCGTGAGGAAACCTGCACTTAGAATTTTAATTATAAGTGTGAAATCGCCAACCCGCATTGAGCAAGCGTGGTGATTAATGCTCAAACCTTCTCCGTGTGGGAAGAGCCCTTTTCTCAACAGTGGGCACTTATATTTTTAACACTCGTATCACCAGAGTTACGGGTGCATTACTGGCCTTTTGGGGATTAGGGAGGGGAAGGATTGGGCTTCCAGTAAACTCGTTCGCACCACGAAACACAACGCTGCTGTTGTTTCACGCCGGTTTTCTGTGAGGCCGTGGTATCACTCCGGTCGAGCCGACCCATTCGTGTCGAAACATGGCTCTAACTTTTGTAAACGCATCAAGGACACTAAAAAAAAATCCCAAGGATTTTTTCATCATCAGCCTATAAGTGCCCACTGCTGAGCAAAGGCCACTTCTCACACAGAGAAGGTTAGAGCATTAATCACCACGCTACCACGCTTGCTCAATGCGGGTTGGCGATTTCAAACTTATAATTAGAAGTTATAAGCCCAGGTTTCCTCACGATTGTCACCATCACCATATATCAGTGGTGTATAAATAATCATAGAAAGTAGATCTAAGTCGGAAAAAGTTACATTGGTACTTTCCAGGTTTCGAACTTATACCCTCATGCATAAGAAGCGAGCTGCTTAACTTCCGGGCCACCACGACGACCACAGTATTTTTTTTATTAAATTTAATTAATTCTTTTTCAGGTATGCTGGTTACAGTCGCTTCGAGCTAAGAAAATTTGCCCACAATGCAACGCTATCACCACTGCTCAACATCTCAGAAGAATATACATGTAATAACATTCATATTATCACTGTTGGAATAAGTTCCTTCTCTACATAAGAGGGGTTTGCCACAATCTCCGCAGGCAGGCGGGTTGGAGATTACAGCATATAATTACGCGGGTATTAAAGCGAAAAATAAGTATTTAAAAACCTTGGTAGGCTACCAAGGTATTTAAATAATTATTTTTCGCGTTAATACCCGCGTAATTATAAGGTGCAGTTTAAATGGTTCAGGTTTACCAGAGCGCTGATGCTGTCTCTGTCATAGATTTGTATACATATAATTATTAGTTATAAAATTAATTTTACTCCGTCAAATGCGTTTATTTTGTGTTGGTTAAAGTATTATTGGGATATAATTACAATATGAAGACTATTCACGTGATTATTCAAGAGCCTTGGCATAATCGCCCTGCGATTAAAACCTTTTTCTAAATAAAGATTTAAAAAAAAAAATTCAAGAGCCCTCGACAAATTTCGAAGTATGATGTTTATTGGCCCGACAGCTACTATGAGCCCCGCTCGTAGCATGAAAATAGACGAGACGACTCGAGTGCTTACAGAAATATACTATATATAAACTGTATACTTTATTTAAATATTTGTCTGAAATGTTGACACTTAAAATCTCAATAATATTTTAACCAATAAAGGTATACATACAATTCAAAGATTTTTGCTCAAAAATCAATTTAGGTATGAAATCAATTAAAGCTTATTTCACAATGACTGACAAAGTTTATAATAGTCTAACTGACGGATAGATACATTTAAAAAACAAAACCAGACTCCCGAGTCTTTTTTGGGGATGAGAAGGGTTGGAGATGGAGAGGATTGACCCTCCGGTAACCTCACTCACTCGGATTGTTTCACGCTGGCTTTCTTTGAAGCCGTAATCAAAAAGATTAATCCTACAATCATTTCATACTTACTTGTAATAAATAACTGAATGTACAGCTGTCTGTACTATTTTTTTATCTGAAAAAACATTCGATAATTATTCAGAAATGGTCAATGACACTAAAATAGTGTCATTGACCATTTCTATCAAATGTTATGAGAAATTATGGTAATTTCTTATTTTATGTCTAAAGACCCCGCTATGATGTCTATTGACCCCTTATGCATAAATAAAGGGGGTCTAATCTTCAAAAAATCTTTTTGTGTCTAATGACCCCAATACAATGTGTCTAAACACCCCCTTATGGATATATAATGGGTCTATCGATTGTTCTTGTATAAAAGATTGCCACGCGGCTTTTTTTTATTTTATAGTTTTTCTACCGTCAGTTAGTTTCAACATCACATTTGTGGATTATTTATATATTGATCGTTAGAGTCCACTGTTAGACTGTGAGCCCCTTTTAGAAATATTTTTCCCTTAATAAGGCAAAGAAAGAAAAACCATGTATTTTAACTTGACAACTACATAAAAGTAATAATACATTAATATGGAGGGGAAGGGCTTGGCGATTTTCTCGTCTCTATTTCAGTCCCTCACTGGACTCTAACGATCACTCCAGGGAGAAGTGTTTGATGACTTACGTATACTATTTTGAAGTCACCACGCGATATAGTTGTAAAATACATGTAATATTTAAATATTAATATTAAAAATATGCCTTCTATGAAGATGTACAATAATAGAGTTAATGATAAAAATTAGTCCTATATCCAATTACAATGTAAATAAAATTATTTTTTTCTATGATTTCCTTTGTTTTATTGTCCTTACGGAAAACAACGCCAGTTTTAATTTAGAAAAATGTGGTTCGAAAAAGCCTTCGCTGGAAGATCTTTCCATAAATTCTGTGCGAGGCAGAAAGTTTCGGGAAAATCGCTCAGTTGTCTGACAACTGCATATACGATGGAGAAAAAAGTTGTGTCACGTCGGGTATTGGCAAAAATATGTTCATAATTTTGATAAAATTAACTTAGGTGTTTAATAAAATTACGACTAACTTGCGGCGACGTCAAGCTGACTCCTCGCTCCGCGGCTTCGCTTTTTTGACGTTCGCAAAGTGCCTGTAAGGCTCTAATTGAAATAAATGATTTTAACATTCACTTCAAATAGGTAATATTTTATTGTTCAATCACTTAACTGCTTAAATAAATAGTACAAGTAATAAATATTCTATGACACAACATAAAGGTACCTATAACTGTAGCTGCATTTTATAAGCTAGAATAAAACTGAATGCTAAAATACCATGCTAAATAAACATTATTTTTAACTACAATTAGGTAGTATCTACTCTTTAATCGTTGGTCTCAGCGCTGACCAAGGTTTCCACGCCATCGCCACAGTCGGGCTGAAACAAAAGAAAACAAAATTTTTACATGATAGCTAAAGTATCTATACCTAATAATATAAATAGGTCAATAGTTACCTATAATTCAATGGGGTCAATAATCACCTAGTTTCAATGGAGTCATTAGAAACCTACAGTTAATCACTCATGGGGTGGCCTGCGTGAGCGACGAACGCGACGCAACACGGTACGACGTAATACGACGCGATACTATACGCGACAAATGTCCTACGTGATTTTGGTCATTACGTCTCAAATCATGGAAAATTACAGTACAATTTTGCTTGAAAAGTTCATATTTAAAGTACCTACAGACTTTTAAAAAAATATCGTAAAAAGCACAGAAAGAAAACAAATATAATATTTTTACTAATAAACACATTATCAAAAAACAAAAATATGTTATATACTCGGAATTTTAATTCCATTCCAGATTTGACAATTTCAGTGTTGCAACGTTATGACACGCAATAAATAGTGACGTTGCGAAATTATTCGATGTGGAAATCGAATATTTCTGAATCGATTCCTCTCGTTCATAAATTTATTCTCGTAAACTAAGTTTATCAGGAAATAAAATATTTTGGAACCGATAATTTAGTTCTTTCGATCTGAGACTTTTCTTTTGTAATTGAGTGTGAAATTAATAAAAAATGTGATCATGAAGGAACGTGACAAACAAAACAGACATTTTGTAAATTGTCGCCGTCATCGCTATCGCTATCGCTGTTACTTTCTGTAACAGTTATTTATTTATTTATTTAATAAATGGTGAATCAACAGCAGCTACATTATACAATTTTAGCAGAAAAATAGTGACATTGAGCCACTTACAAATTCACACGAATAGTGCCAGAATAGTTAGCAACTAAGACCAAATTAAAATTTTAAATATAATCAAAACAGTAGGCACACCGCAAGAAAATTATATAAAGAAAAAATGATGTAAACATATTTAAAAAAACATAAATTAGTTATTAAAAAATTCTCCACTTATCATGGTTCTAGCTTTTCTCAGGCTTGTACAAAAGATATCTACATCATGCTTGCTACTGATGTCGTTAAAGGTACGACAAGCTCGACACAAAAATGAGCTCTGCCTGTAGTTGCTATTTGCAACCGGGGGACAAAGAGGTGTGTGCTTCCTAAAGGATTTCGAGGGAACATTGAGAGACAACTTTTCAAGGAGTTCAGGGCAATCAACCCTACCGTTTGCTATGGATAGGATATAAGTAACGTCAGCTATCTCACGACGTTTATAAAGGGGAAGAAAGTGAAATTGTTTGCAGAGTTTATGTTTAAGTTTAGTTTATTATGAATTGTGTCTGTGATTTTTATTGTCAATTAACATATATAGCTTACTTATTTTTTCCTCTTCTTTGAAAACATGGGATACACATTTAGACCATTCGGTAGCCGTAATTTTTTGAATGCCTTCCTGAAACTGATTCACTGATTGTTTATCGATTTTTGTGTTCATCATTACACTGTTATATGTGGTATCATTATTTCACAAAATGACAGTGGTCAATGTCAAATCAGGAATCGAATTAAAAGTCTGACTATAGTTTGTGTTGAGTCGAGTTCGTTGCTCTCGCAGGACACTGCGTCATACAGGTACATGGGGTCAATAGACATCTTCAGGTCTATGAGGTAAGTAGGCTATCTATAGGCTACAGTTTTTCGGGGTTGACAGGGTAACCTTCAATTAGGTGGGGCCAAACGTAACTTACATTTCAATGAAGTGAATAGGCAATCACAGTTTATCGGACTCAATAGTCACCTTTTTTATATAATAGGAGCAGACGGATTACCTGATGGTAAGCAATCGCCGCCCATGGACACCCGCAACGGAGCAGTTACGAGTGCGTTGCCGACCTTTTAGGAATTAGGGATTGGGGGAGGGGAAGGCTTGGGCCTCCAGTTACCTCACTCACACGGCGAAACACAACGCTGTGATTGTTTCACTTTGGTTTTCTGTGAGGCCGTGTTATTACTCCGGTCGAGCCGACCCATTCGTGCCGAAGCATGGCTCTCCCACGCTTCAACGTGATCAATCAAAAACACCCCCACGTAAATGGTTTCAGTAGTAACCCACAGTTCAATGGAGTCAATGCCTACTAACCTACAGTTTATCGGCGACAATAGTAATCTACGGTTCAATAACATAAACAGTTTCCTATGATTTATCGGGGTCAAAAGTCACCTAAAATCCAATGGGGTCATTAGTCACAAGTCTTTTTCCCTCAATCAACTTACTTGCATATCAGCAACCGTTAAAGGCGGTTCGTCTTCCCGCAATACTGTCTCTCCATCCAATTTCTTCAGGTTTGGAAGTCTACGGGCAGCTTCAGAACGCCACGCCTCTAATTCACAACCATCGTAAAGTGGGTTACCGACGAATAACAAATCTTCTAAATGTGGTAGTTCCTAAAATATTTTTAATAATTTGACAATAAAATAGGCAGGCCACGTCGCTCGAAGGACCAGCCAGGGTTGCAGGGTAAGCGCAATGAGGCACTGCTGCCTCGGCCCAGAGCGGGTGAAGAAAAGGGGGGGTTTTTAGTCAGAACGAGTCTGACACTGTCATTTGATGATTTTGCCCTCACAAATAAAAAGTCGCTCGAAGGACGGACGGCTAATGGGCCCGAAAAGTACTAGAGAGGCGACTATGGACCGACAAACGTATCGTGGGCAGGCCTCCCTGGACCGACGACATCGTCAGAGTCGGAGCCAGACAGTAGGGTCAGACAGACTCTTGATGACAAAAAACCATCCCGTTTCTTCTCCTGCTCCGAGACGAGGCTGCCGTAAATATCCTTTGCATCAACAAGCTTAGAAAGGGCACTTGACTGCACGGTTGGTACGGTGGCTGGGCAACTCGCTGCCGTGCAACGTGTCGCGGGTCCAATTCCCGCACGGAACAACTCTTTGTGTGATCCACAATTGTATGTTTGTAACCGCACCCACGACACGGGAGAAAATCGTAATGTGGGGCAACGTTTTTATTTAAAAAAAAATTACCTGTAATTTATTAAATTCGCTCCACTCTTTAACCAAATTATTGCTCATGTATAGAACTTTCAAACTCCTCAACACATGTATCCCTTTCAGTTTTTCAATCAAGTTATATGATATCCACAGCTCTTCTAAAGTGTCACCCAACGATTCCTCAAAGAAAAAAAAAACCTTATATAGGTATTGACATCATCAGCCTATAAGTGCCCACTGCTGAGCAATTGCCTCTTCTCACACCGAGAAGGTTTGAGCATTAATCACCAGGCTTGTTCAAGGCAGATTGGCGATTTCTTACTTGTAATAATAGGAATTATAAGTCCAGGTTTCCTCTCGATGTTTTCCTTCACCGTTTGTCAGTGGTGTCTAAATAATCATAGAAATTGTATGTAACTTGGAAAACTTGCGAGGTTTCTAACCCTCATGCTTAGATGCTAAGCCTCCGGGCCACCACGCCGTACCTACGTCGTAGTACAATATAATTTATGTATTGCCATATTATTATGATGTTTTAAACTATATAGTTGGTGCTAATATGAGGTCATGTTACAAAGTCTTGAATTTACGTATATATAAATGTAGGGTTCATTATTCTTAACATACCATGCCAGTAAATGACTTAATATAATTCCGTCCCAGAGATAATATTCGTAATTTTTTAAACGTATTCAATCCTGTCACTTTTTCAATCATATTCGTTGATAAACTTAGTTTTCTGTAAAAACAAGAAAATCTTAACAATTTTAACATTCCCGATCTTTTTTTGTGTATTGTGTGTAAAGAAAAATACATTATAATTCAGGCTATGGCAACAGAGCCAATTTTTTATTAGGTAAATTATCGTTAGTAAAGTAGCGTTCTTTATTTCTTAGAGTATTTTTTATTTATTACTAATCTCTATAAACTACCTAAGTATTCATTTCAAAGTTTTTGTAAGAAATAAAATATTTCCATTCTTTGCAAATGATTTGAAAATGAGCGCGAAAAATACTCAAGTTGACATTTTGGTGAATACTTGCAAATAAAAAAAACGGCACAAGCAAGCGACATTTTAAAGTACTACCTAGTTTGAAATGTTTTAATTTAAAACAAAACTATGGAGGAATTAAATACTCTAAGATCAAAACTCATATCAATGGAAAGATTTTCATTACTTGGACAAACCCAAGATCAGACAGAAGCAGAAGCTCATTAGAACATTCACAGTTCCTTTAAAAGTATGTTAAATAAAAATGAAACAGTAAAATACAAAGCTGCTAATTTATAATAAACCTAATTACTCACTCGCAATTGGTCAAAGTGGCAAGTGTATTGTCCATTTTTTCAATCGGTGGCCATTGGAACATTAGACTTACTTCAGTGGCCGTAGCCGCTTGTTCCCCTGTCTTATCCTCCCATTTCTTTATAGCTTCTTTTATTGTAGTAGCTTTAGCCATTTTTTTAATATTTTTAATCTTTTATTTACGTTTAAACAGTTTATGCAATATAGCTTGGTTACTCAGTTATTGATCAAATAAAATAATGTAGAAATTAAATCAATTATAGATAAAATGTATTTATTATCGATTGATTAAAGCTTAACATAATAATTGTTATTTTTTTCATATTAAATAGAATCCAAAATAAAGATATTTGAAATAATTTATCAAAATAATTTGGTTTTATTTATTGTTGCCACATACAAAAATTCACCTACTACGCAATAAAGTCTTTCATATGCTTATGTCATGGAATGGCGTCCATTTCTCTAATATAACCACGCCTCGTTGTATTTATTTCTGAATTGCTTTTATTTTGTAGTTTAATTACAATTAATTGCCGTTAATTCAACATCCTTGAAAGATCTTTTTAGGTAAGTGTCATTTTTATTTTGACATTTGATTACGCCATGCTTTTTTTTTAATTTTTCTTTTTCGACTTCTTTTTTTTAATTAAAAAAAAACAAACGCCTATCTATTCTCAGACGAGTGAAAAATTGTGTTTTCAATGATAAAAGTGGTGGAAATTTTCATTTATTTGGAGATATATAATAAATATGGACAGTTTTCAGAATTATGAGACGATATTAAGTTGACTTGTCAGCAAAATCAATAAAATCAAATACCTTTTTTGCAATGTTCCCGACGCCATAGTCTAAGGTTTTCTTTTTATAAAAAGTTATTTTTGACAATTTTTGATTCCCGCTTTTTCATTATTTATTTGAATTTGTGTTGCATTATTTGTAAGATTATAAACGCTATATGCTTTTCAATTCGTATTACATTTTCACACGTAGCATTTTGTAAGTGTTAGCTCATGAAAACACATAACCTTTAATTTTAATTTAAGAATCGCTCCCAAGTCCTGAATCATTACGTACTTACTTGAATTTTGTGAAAATGAGAATGATTATTAAAAATATGTAATTTGTACAAAAATACCTAGATAAAATGTGCGTACGAAATGATCATAGTATTTTAAGAGCCAATAGTGCCGTCAGTGTATTTTTTTAAATCGTGATAAAATAATGTAATTATTATTTATAATTTTCAGACTGTACTACGAGTCATAACCATGGCTGAGCCCCAAGAACGGTTCGTGAACGTTGTTCCGACGTCTCGTGTCAAAGTTAAGGTAAGCCTACGATAATAATGTTTTATAATCATCAATTTTTCTACTGCACCAAATTCCTACTACCAAGCCCCTTACTACAAGTTAATGGTTAAAAAAGTATACATATTGTGAAGGGCAGAAATGTTCTATGTTTGTGCTTAAATAAATTAAATTTTGTAATGGTTAAACATGGTAAATAGATACTAGGAAATAAAATCCGCCCCTAAGGCTACCCACTGACCGAAAATGTTTTTTTTATGTTTTTATTTAATAAATTGCCCCACACTAGGATTTTCTATTGTGTCGTGGGTGCGTTTTCAAACATACAAATTCACATACACGACACACCCAGACCCAAAACAACAATTTGTGGATCACACAAATTGTAATCTAACATCTATTCCCCCCTTCATGTATCTATTTAACCCGTTTTACGGTAAGTTGTTTTCACACTGACAAATGTAGTATTTGTTACAACCACAATCATTCTCACAAAATGTTAGGTTTATGATATCATCGGCAGAATTTTCACAAACTCCTGCCCTAGTACCACGGCATACAGAAACTACAGAACATCACATACTATATTCTTAAATACTTTTTTAGCTCACATCATATTCATAGATGTCCAGTCAACACCAGTAGTCTATCTTCTCACACGGAGAAGGTTTGAGCACCAAACAACACTTGCTCAAGGCAGATTGGCAATTTCATTTCTTTGTCCAGTACTCCTCTAATGTTTTCCTTCACCATATGTCAGTGGTGTCTAAAGACACTTAGAAAGTACATATTATTATAACTAAGTTAAAACCTCATTGGTAGCATCAATCCAAATATGTAGCCCACACTCTCATCCGGGTTGTGGGGTAAGCGCAATGAGGCACCGCTGACTCTGCCTAGAGCAGGAGAAGGAACAGGGGTTTTTTAGTCAGTAGAAGTCTGACACTTCCTCTCGCCTCACCCTGGGCGGGGGTGAAGCCAATTGATGATTTTCTCATGATGAACAGAAAAAGAAACTCATGTATTAGAAAAAGATATTTTAGGTGCACACATATTTGTATGTTACCCCAACTGTTACAGCCATCTGAAAATTAGTTCTATACTACACTGTTTTTTTTTTTGTAAATGTTTATTTTTAACCGACTTCAAAAAAGGAGGAGGTTATTTCTATTAAATTTAGGTAAATGTAGCAAAATAAATAGTTAAAACAATAGACTGTCATATCTTTATTCCTTGCAGAAAGAAATAGTCCACGATGATGACGATGCTTTCCACTGCCGTCTCTGCTGGAAGGGGTTTGCCAGTGAGGTAGCACTCAGGAACCATGCCCGCATGGAGCATATTGATGCCTATGCCTCCGGAAACCCTGCTGTTTGGACTCATGTCAACGATAAGGTGAGGACTTAGTATATACTATTAATAATATAATAGCAATTTTTTTATCGATTTCATACCGCTTGCTATGTGATGTGCCAACTGCATCCATGTCTTCTGACTGGGTACTCTGCGAAAAAATACTGAAACAAACTTAAAGATCAGTCTTTTTAAGTCCAGACAAATGTATAAATTATGTAGGAGACCCATTCAAGTTAATTTTGTAGTGGTCTTTTGAGAGAAGAAAGCGCCACACCAGTTCTAGAGGACCCCTTTAGACTGGACAAAGATAAGGCCACTGGTAACCTCAATCACACGTCGATACGCACTGTAGTTATTTCACACCCGTATTCTGTGGAGCTATATCCCTCAGCTCGAGCCTGCCCATTCGTTCCAAAGCATGACTCTCCCACACTAGTAAAATTACTTATCATAACGTACCTGTGGAAACCATTAAGCATAACTATTAAGTTTACTTTTCCTATCCCTTTAAAAAAAAGAAATTGACAGCTGAAGATAGGACTCACTCACTCACTCACTGACTGACACACAACATAAGAACTAACTCCCTTCCTTCTTCATTACAGAAGAAACAACCAACAGAAGACCATATCATCAAGTTGAAGACAGAACAGGTGCTCTCGGAGATGGAACCCACGAGCGTCATGGCTTTAGCCTCCAATGACGTCAGCTACATCATCATCAAAGCTGAAGATGGACCGGAAACCAAGAAGAAGAGGATCGAACGGGTCGGGAAAAAAGATAAGGAGGAGAAACAGGTGCAGAGGAAGGACAAATCTGAGCCTATTACGTAAGTAGATTTTATTTAATAACTAGCTACTCTCGCGCGATTTCACCCGCTTCTCGGCTCCATTTGAGCTTAGCGTGATGTTTTATAGCATGTAGTACTCAGGAACATTGTAGCTATATATCAGTGAAAGAATTTTGGAAATCCGACCAGTGGTTCCAAAGATTACCCCCTACATACAAAGTTACAAATTGTACCTCTTTATAATATTAGTATAGATGAGGTATATTCACAGGTCAAAAAATATACTTTATAAAACTATCGTGAGGCATACCAAATTAACTAAAATCGCGGGTTACTCACGTGAATATATGTACCTACTGAGAAAAGCCCTTTAGAGGAGTTCTTCATGGGGTTGCATAAAAACAAAAGATGGGATCAGTTACCTAAATTTTTAATTCTCTCGAACATGGCGCTCACATATTTATATTGACAATCTAAAGATGAAGTTATTAACTTCTATATTTCTATTCCACAGCGGTCCCTTTGAATGCCTTCAACCCTCAACTCTAGTAGCTGACGGCACCTGCCACCAGATCTTCTTCTCATGCTGTGAATACTCAGTACACTACCGGGATGAGCACACGCGCCGTAGGAAAGGGCTCCGATGCCAAGTTTGCGAGAAACCCCTCGCCTGCAGCGGGGAGGAGGCACCGGCACCCTACGCTTGTGAGGTAAGAAACTTTTTTTAAAACTGTCGTACACTATTTTCTTTCGTACATTTTCTCCTGTGTCGTGGATGCGTTTACAAACATACAATTTCACATACACATCACACCCAGACCATCACCGCGCCAACCGTTCAGTCAATAATTTTATTCATTTATTTTCATGAGAAAGTAGAATCATTTGTTTTTCGAGAATATCCACCCCCACTCTTCCCCTGGGTGTTATAGACTGACCCCCAGACCAATTTGACCCTAGCGTGGTAGGCAAGCCCGACCCCGGCTTTTTTGATGTTTTTATAGTTTATGGGAAAAAAGCAGCGAGCATGCCTCACCTGATGGTAAGCAATAAGCAATGTACGTCGTAGAGAGAAGAGTTTTGAGTGCGTTCCCGGTCTTCTAGGAGTAACGCACTCATATCTTGGATTTGAGGATTGGGGATAATAGGACAGCGTTGATACAAGGGTTGGTGGTCTTTAATGGGTGATAGATGACGTCTCCGATTGAGAAAAAATAAAAAAATCCAAAACCAAACTTTTGAAAAGGCCGTAACTACAGCCGTATCAAAATATGGGGTTCCAGAACTATTGGTATTCCAATCTTGGGTGTACTCCGGTAACCTCACTCTCACACGGCGGAACCCAAGCTTTTTTTCACGCCTCTTTCCTATCAGGGCATAGTATAACTCTGATCGAGCCGGTCCATTCTTGCCGAAGCAAAACTCTCTCCCACATAAAAAAATGTAATATCATATTTGTTTATTTGTTCCAGGTTTGCGGCCTAGGCTATCAGACTAACAAGGAACTGTCGGAACATATGGCGATAGCTCATGTTAAGCTAAAACCCTTTGAATGCAGCGTCTGCCATAAAAGATTTACTCAGCAGGTAAGTTCGTGCGTATTTGATTATGTGATAGACTGAAAGCTCAGACTGATGGCTAGTCTACAGGCTGCCATGTTACGTGTCGGGTCGATTCCCGTATCGAACAACTTTGTGTAATCCTCAAATTGTTTCAAATGTACGTGCTATGTGGATTTGTATAATATTCCTTAATTGTAAAAATGTATTCGGATTTATTCGTCTTTGTTATTAAACTAGATGGTTTAGCAGACAGGTGTGTGATAACCAAAAAAAAAGTTACCACATCTTGATAGGTCCAGCTTGAAAGCCACAGGGTGGTATTTAGTAAATGAGAGTCTGACATGCTCTCTCTTCTCGTTAAGGGTGAGAGTCTTTCGATGATTTTCCTTGTTTCCTGTTACTCTTAAAAAAATATTACAAAGTCCTACTTACAATACCCAATTGGGCCCCTGATAACATCACTCACTCAGCGAAATACAACTCTGAGTTTGTTTAACGCTGGTTTTCTGTGAGGCCGTGGTATCACTTCAAAGCCAAACCATTAGAGACGAAGCTTAGCTCTCCCACACTTAAAATATCACTTACTTTAATGTCTTATTTCCAGGGTGGAGTCCTCCAACACATGAGAATGCACACCGGAGACCGACCATTCCCCTGCACATTCTGTCCAAAGGCCTTCACCCAAAAATCAGGCCTAGACCAACACCTCCGCATTCACACCAAAGTTAAACCCTATCGATGCGTTGTTTGCAACAAAACATTCTGTCAATCTGTACACTTGAAGCAACATATGCGCACACATACTAACGTAGCTCCATTCCAATGTGGAATATGTGACAAGCGATTTAAACAAAGCAGTCACTTGAACTATCATCTCAAAAACCATAATCCAGCCGTTATGACTGAAGAGCAAAGAGCTAAGTACTCCGAACTGATTGGAATGATGAATAATCAAGTTTTAGAACAAGAAGCTACAGTACAAGTCGAAACAGAAGTTGATAGCGAATGGTGCGTTGCTATTTCAGAAAGCTGAAGAAATATATTAAGTTTAGACAGACTTGTGATGTGTTAAAAGTGATTCATGTAGTGTCTAGTTCAGTGTTATGGACTGTCCAGACCATATGTACTTAAGTATCGCCATGAGCTAATGGTGACATGTAAACAGTGACTTGCAGTGTAGAGATTGTCCAGTCAACTGATGGTAGCGTGGACTGTCCAGGCGATACGTACTTAGGTATCGTCATGAGCTAATGGTGACATGTAAACAGTGACTCTTGCAGTGTAGAGATTGTCCAGTCAACTGATGGTAGCGTGGACTGTCCAGGCGATACGTACTAAGGTATCGTCATGAGCTAATGGTGACATGTAAACAGTGACTCTTGTAGTGTAGTGATTGTCCAGTCAACTGATGGTAGCGTGGACTGTCCAGGCGATATGCACTTAGGTATCGTCGCGAGCTAAAGGTGACATGTAAACAGTGACTCTTGCAGTGTAGAGATTGTCCAGTCAACTGATGGTAGCGTGGACTGTCCAGGCGATACGTACTTAGGTATAGTCATGAGCTAATGGTGACATGTAAACAGTGACTCTTGCAGTGTAGAGATTGTCCAGTCAACTGATGGTAGCGTGGACTGTCCAGGCGATACATATTTAGGTATGATTTGTACAAACTATGCTGCCATTTAACATGAGCTATTATTTAAATATAATTGACTCTATTTATCCTCTTATGAAATGAGTTGATGATTATTTCTGCTAATATATGATTCCTATGCAATATGGATCTGTAATTATTTTTTAGGGAAATAGGCGTTTAGCTAAACCTATTTGCAACATAAAGGGATTCTCTTTTATAAATAAGAAATGAATTGTTCTAATTAGATTTTCTTACTCAATAATTCTTGGACAAAATATTAATGATCATTAGTCAGTTATATTTGACGGCTTTTTCTAATAACTACTTGGCAAGATATCTCAGGTATGTAGTTTTAAACTGCATTAGGAAGTATTGGACATTGTACTTTCCACTAAGAAAGCCATTGACACATTAATTAATCCTACTATTGTTATAAATGCGATAATTTGTAAGTATGGATAGGTATTTGTTACTCTTTCACATAAACTACTGAATGGACTCTGATAAAAATTGCCACAGAGATAGATTATTGTCTAGAATTTCATCATTACATAGCTATATTTTAACGCTAAAGCTACTAGTAAACTAGTTTACAATGTCTAAAGAGCTCAAATTATTTAACTTGAAGTTTACATGTTTGTAAATACAGCAATAATTTGCTATTTACCGTAGTTCTATTCTATTATATTATATATAGTGATTATATATAAATAAATTATTTAATTTTCATAAGTACAGTACAATGTTTGTACTTTATAGATTTTTTTAATTATAACTAATGTAATTTATAGTATTGGAAATATGATTTCAATAAATGAACTTATAGAGTTGTTTTGTTTATTTTTTGCCCGCGCCATAAGCTATTAAGGTCCATGTCCATATCCAAGTGTGAGAGCCATGCTTCGGCACGAATGGGTCGGCTCGACGGTGTTGCGACGACCTCATAGATAATTCACAGCGTTGTGTTTCACCATGTGAGTGAGGTTACCAAAGGCCCAATCCTTCCATTCCACTATTCCTACCCCAACCCCTAAAACCTTAATACCCAAAAGTTAAGCAATACTCGTAACTCCTCTCTTGATGCGGATGTCCATAGATGGAGCTGATACTTAACATCATGCAGTCCACTCTGGCGTAAGGATGTAGTCTCTACTCTTTGCATCTTTTATCACTCATATACCACCATGTAGATCCGAGAAATTTTATGGTTCGATCAATCCATCAACCTTCGTGACAGCACTTCCATTCCCATCAATCATCATATGCTTAGGTGGTTGGCAGTCAACAACTGCCTGCACTGCACCATTGGTGCGGTGGCTGCGCAACTGGCTGCCGTGCAACGTGTCGCGAGTTCGATTCCCGCACGGAACAACTCTTTGTGTGATTCACAAATTGTTGTTTCGGGTCTGGGTGTCATGTGTACGTGAAGTTGTACCTATGTTTGTAAGCGCACCCACGACACAGGAGAAAATCCTACTGTGGGGCAATGTTTAAAAAAAAAATATATAAAATCTTTTCGAAAATTATCAGATGCCTTCTCTCGCCCAGGGTGGGAAAGAAGGATTGTCAGACTCTTACTGACTAAAAATTGCCCCTACGCTACGCACCGCAAACTGTCCGATTATGGTAGGGCGGCGGCAGCGCGCTTCCCTTGCTCGTTTACCGGCCGTAGTGTGTCACCAGTAGGTGACACTCCAGGCGTTAGGTTAGGATTTAAGGAGGATAGTTCCCTCGAACGACGAAGAAATTAATACTTGCATAAACGAAGTTGTCTTAAGCACAGCTTACAAAGGAGGCTTAGTCCTCTATCTAACCCAGCACTTAGCTTAAGGGAGGTTGTAGCTACGACACTTATACAGTGTCTATACAGATAGACACTTCTGCCTATCTGTATAAAGATTAATAGCCGTTATGTCAGACTATTATTTTTGTTAAGAACATTCATATTATTATGTGTATTTATCTTGCGTCGTGAAACGAAACGTATAAGTCAATGTCAAGTATCTTTCGCGCACGTCGAATTGTTTTTATTCGAGAAAAATACCGATAGCTGATAAAAACTGCATCACAATTAATTATTCTCGGATAATTATAACTTTATATAGTGCTCTAAGTTACTACGAACCAAGATGTTGATGTCAAAGGTATGTTTTTAAACTTATTTACGAAAACAAACTAAAAACAGGAGTTATGAAATAATCATTCAAGTATAAAAAAATATTGTGCATATATTTCATGACTTTGCAATTTTATTAGCTTGTTAATAACCTTGAGAAGTTATTTATAAACTTTACTAAAAATACAGTAAATATGAAACACTTTAAAAATATATTTTAGCACCGAAGGACGAATGAAAACAACTATGGTTACATTTTCTTTTTTTTCTATTTCATGTAAAGCAGTGACAAAGGTCATGGCTTTATTATACTTCCTTGTTGCACAGAATATATTAAAGGGTTTAATTATTTTTTTACCTACTTTATTGATAAAATTACTAAGCAGAGTATGGTTTTGGTATGAATTGTATTATATTTATTTAAGTTTTTCAAGGCTAATGGTATTTGTTTGATTCCTATAAATAAGATTACTCACGATCACTGCTAGAATTCTTATTATATCTGGAAGTAAAATGAATGATAATATTGATAATCATCATTTTCTTTGTAAAACAATAAATTACAAATAATTAAATAGTTACCTAATTCAAATAAAAAAGATAATGTTTAAAATCCAAATTATAAATTACCGGGTTAATTTGACACTGCCAGGTAATTTTGATTGAAATGGCCAAATGAATGAAAAACAAATATATGTTTGCTTCTGGGTCATTATCTGTTAAGGGGTCTGGACATGGAGGAATCTTTTTCGGGTCTGGAACAAAGTTACCCCACAGGGTCAAATTAACCCAAACTTACCCAGTCCTGTTGTACTAAAAAATACTAAAAATATTTCTTCATATTCCATAATTATTTTTTTATATAATTTTACATGAATACCCCTCACAACTATAATTTTCAAATATACATCATCTTTATTTTAGTTGGAAGTTCTAGTAGACTTTGGTCCGAAACCGGATGAAGTAATCCTGAACAAGACTTTAGCAGAACTGAAATCACAAGATGGAGTGAAAGATGCAGTGTATAAGGAAGGTGCCATACTAGTTGAAACTGCATTACCTAGTACACAAATACTGGAAATGGTTACCAAGACTTCTGGAAAACGTGCTGTCTTACAGGGTTTTGGTGGTAAGAACTTGTTTGTTTTCCTTAACCTTTACTTAAATGTTAGAGAGTCATACTTCGGCACGAACAGGTCAGCTCGAATGGAGTGATACCTCGCAGAAAACAGGCTTGAAACAACAACAGCGTTGTGTTTCGCTGTGTGAGTGAGGTTACCTAGGCCCTATCCTTCCTCTTTTTTTTTCATGTAATAGCTCGGCAAACGAGCAGACGTATTACCTGATGGTAAGCAATCAGCGCCGCCCATGGACACTCGCAACGGAGGAGTTACGAGTGCGTTGCCGACCTTTTAGGGATTAGGGATTTGGAGATTTAGGGATTGAGGAGGGATTGGGGAAGGGGAAGGATTGGGCCTCCGGTAACCTCACTCACACGGCGAAAGACAACGCAGTGGTTATTTCACGCCGGTCTTCTGTGAGGCCATGGTATCACTCCGGTCGAGCCGACCCATTCGTGCCGCAGCATGGCTCTCCCACACTCCCACTCTCCTCTCCTCTAATCCCTAAATCTCCAAAACCGAAATAATCAAAAGGTCAGCAAGATACTCGTAACTGCTCCGTAATTGCGGGTATTCATGGGCGGCACTGATTGCTTACCTTCAGGTAATCCACAAGTTCATTTGCCATCCTATCCCTTAAAAAAACCCATAAAGGGGTTTATTTTTAAAAAAGGTGTTATTAATTTTTGGTCTCTAGGGAGAGGCGACCCTAATAAACTATGTTACACACATTACTTTTTCTTTATGAAATAAGAGACAATCAAGCATATGAAATGCCTGATGGTAAACGAAAATATCCAGCAACGGAAAGACATCATGCTAAATAAAATGACTCCTCTTTTTTATGGAATTGGAGGCAAACGAGCAGACGGATCACCTGATGGTAAGCGATCGGCGCCGCCAATGGACATCTGTAGCACCAGAGGAGTCACAGGTGCGTTGCCGGCCTTTTAAGAAGGAGTACGCTCGTTTCTTGAAGGTTTGAAGGTCGTATCGGTTCGGGAACCTCGGACCATTACCTGTGCTATAAGAAGCAGAATGTGTACAATGAATGACGCTCTTTAATCAATCATTTTATTATTTGTCCCGCTCTTTTTGGGACGAGAGAGAGTGTCAGACTCGTACTGACTAAAAACCACTCCGTTCCTTCTCCTGCACTGGGCTGAGGTCGCGGTGCCTCATTGCGCTTACCCCGCAACCCCGGCTGAACATCAGCTCTATAGAGCCCCGTCTGTGGTGGTCTATTATCGGGCCTGGTTGTGATGTTTGTAAACGTACCCACGACACAGAACAATGTCCTTCAAATGACTTACATTATTTTCTCCTGCCTCATCCAGTCACACTTGATGATTCTATGACTGCACGGTTGGTGCGGTGGCTGGGCAACTGGCTGCCGTGCAACGTGTCGCGTGTTCGATTCCCGCACGCAACAACACTTTGTGTTATCCACAAATTGTTGTTTCGGATCTGGGTGTCATGTGTATGTGACATTGTATGTTTGTAAACGCACCCACAATACAACACAAGAGAAAACATTAAAGTGGGACAACGTTTCTTAAAAAAAAAAAAAACAAAAATAAAAAACAATTCTCTCCCTAACCCCCCTCCCTAAAAAAAACACCTACAGAATTGACTTCAATTTCTCCCCAGACACACAGTCAGCAGTAGCGATGATATCAAGTCAGTCGTGCTGCAAGAGACAGGTTCTAGGAGTCATCAGGTTCCAACAAACGGAGGAAGGCGCGTTAGTAGCAGACGGCAGCATTGACGGGTTGCCGGCAGGAATGCATGGCGTCCACGTACATACTGCTGGGGATTTGAGTCAGGTTCGTGGAATACTAATGACCAATGACACAATATGACCACATATTCATCCTCATCATCATCATCAGCCTATAAGTGCACAATGCTGAGCAAAGGCCTCTTCTCACACGGAGAAGGTTTGAGCATTAATCACCAAGCCTGCTCAAAGCGGATTGGCGATTTCATACTTATAATTATAAATTATAAGTCTAGGTTTCCTCACGATGTTTTCCTTCACAGTATGACAGTGGTGTCTAGGTAGTCATAGAAAGTACATATAACTCGGCAATAGTCACTTTGGTACTTACCAGGTTTCGAATCCGCACCCTCATGCATGAGAAGCAGGCGCCTTAACCCCCGGGCCAAAATATTACCAAAGGAAATTATATGATCAATGACACAACATTAGCAAGGACATGGTGGTCATGTGCACCAATGACGCAGTATATCCAATGACAAAACGTAGTAAATGGCACGGAATGACCAATGACACACAATATTTCATCAAACCCCAATCGAAAGCCGGTGATCGCGCACCTATTATTCTTCTATTATGTCTTGAGTTGTCAGGTTAAGATTAACGACATGATATTTATTACCAATGACATTCCAAGATCAATGACTCGATGTGACCAAAAAACACTATATACTCCATGGCGCAATATGAGCTATAGGAAGATATCATGAGTCATGACAGAATATGACCAATGATTCAGAATGATCATGATATAAGTGCCCACTGCTGAGCAAAATCCTCTTCTCACACGGAGAAGGTTTGAGCACTAATCACCACGCCTGCTCAAAGCGGCGATGGCGATTTCAAACTTATAATAAGAAATTACAAGTCCAGATTTCCTCACGATGTTTTCCTTCACCGTATATCAGTGCTGTCTTAATAATCATAGAAAGTACATATGACTCGGAAAAAGTTATATTGGTACTTGCCAGGTTTCGAACCCGCACCCTCATGTATGAGAAGCGGGTGCCGTAATCTCCAAGCCACCACGACAACTATCAGAATGATCAATGACACAATATTGCCAATGACAATAACATTATTACTACACAATAACATATGGTCAATAACACTAAAGCTCCTAAATCCAAACTATAATTATAAATGCGAAAGTAACTCTGTCTGTCTGTCTGTCTTTTCTTCACGCCTAAACTACTGAACCTATTCGTGTGAAATTTGGTACAGACATAGTTTGGTATTCGAGAAAGGACATAGGATAGTTTTTAAACTTAAAAACTGATGAAACTCGCGAGCAAAAGCTAGTCTCAAAGAATATTTCTCCATCCACAGGGTTGCAAATCGATAGGGGAGCACTATAACCCTTGTGGGGCTCCGCACGGGGCTCCAGAAGACCCCATGGACAGACGCCACGCTGGAGACCTTGGGAACATAGTCGCTGATGAAACTGGGCGAGCTACCTTCAGAATAGTCGATAACGTATTGAAGGTAAGTTGATGGAGTTTCTTGCTCGTTCTTCTCCATAGGATTATTATACTAAGTGTGGGAGAGCCATGCTTCGGCACGAATGGGTCGGCTCGACCGGAGTGTACCACGGCCTTACAGAAAACCGGCGTGAAACAACCACAGCGCTGTGTTTCGCCGTGTCAGTGAGGTTACTGGATTCCCAATCGTTCCTCCCCCTAAATATTCCTCACCAATCCCTAATCCCCTCATGGTCGGCAACGCACTCGTAGCTGAAAACGCTTAATTCCTTAAAGGTCAGCAACGCACTCGTAACTCCTCCGTTGTTGCGGCTGTCCATATGGGCATCGCTGATTGCATACCATCAGGTAATCCGTCTGCTAAACTCTCTCTTCGCCAACCTATCACATAAAAAAAACCTGTGACTCCTCTGGTATTGCAGAAGTTCATGGGCGGCGCTGATCACTTACCATCAGGTGATCTGTCAGATCTCTTGCCTCCTATTCCATTTTTTATGGAACAAGTCGGCAAACGAGCAGACGGATTACCTGATGGTAAGCAATCGGCGCCGGTCGTGGACATCTTCAACACCAAAAGAGTTACTAATGCGTTGCCGGCATTTTGAGGATAAGGGTTGCGAATATTTAAGGATTGGAAAGGGAGGGGGAGGGATTCGGTCTCCGGCAACTTCAGTCACACGGCGAAAACTAACGCTGTGGTCATTTCACACCGGTATTCTGTGAGGCCGTGGTATCACTCCGGTCGAGCCGACCCATTCGTGCCGAAGCATGGCTCTCCCACGCTTAAAAATGACTTAATAATTTACAGGTATGGGATATCATTGGGCGATCGGTGGCTGTCACTGAAAGAAAGGATGACCTTGGTCGTGGTTCCTCACCGAGTTCCAAGATTGACGGCGATAGCGGAACTCCGTAAGATCTTTTTTTTTTTAATTCTGCCCTGCCCCTAGGATTTTCTCCTGTGTCGTGGGTGCGTTTACAAACATACAATTTCACATACACATCACTCACAGACCCGGAACAATAATCTGTGGATCACACAAAGAGTTGTTCAATTCAACTGGCTGCCTGGCTGCCGCGCAACGTGTCGCCGGTTCGATTCCCGCACGGAACAACTCTTTGTGTGATGATGTGTATGTGAAATTGTATGTTTTTAAATGCACCCACGACACAGGAGAATATTCAAGTGTGAAGAATTTTCTTTCTCAACTATATTCATTGAAAATCGTCAACGACTTACTCACGTGAGATTAACAGAGAAAAGCTCGACTAGTTTCAAGTCATAACGGGACTCTTTCTCTTAATCATAAGCAGCGTGCGCGTCGCGGCTACGCTTTTCTCATTTACTTCAAGTGATTTAATCGTTACCTATAAAAGCTGTAGAGTTTGTTTGTTTGTTTGAACGCGCTAATCTCCGGAACTATTGGTTCGAATTGTACAATTTTTTTTTGTGTTGGATAGTTCAATTATCGAGGAAGGCTATAAAACATCGCGCTTCGACCTATAGGAGCAGCAGGTGAAACCGCGTGACAGTAGCTAGTTTCCATTAAATTTACGATCATTTCTATTAAAAAAAAACTTTAGGTATGCAGGGTGTCCGGTAAAGAATGGATAACCTTGCAATACCTTTAAGTATATCTTATGGCCATTCAAAAAATATACAAAAAAATAATACGAAAAAAATTTTTTTTATAAAAAACTTGCAAATTAATTTATTATAGACAAATCGTGCAAAAATTATTTTTAAAGCAATGTTTAATCATCGTGGTTATACATTAATGTAATGAACGTAAATGTTAAAGGATCATTTTGTATTACCTCTAGCCCCAGTTCTTTTACTTCAAGACATAATAATTAGGTACTTCCTATGATACTTTCCTTTTCGTTGTTTTTTCTGAATGGCCAAAGGATATACTAAAACGCATTTCAAGGTTATCCATTCTTTACCGGACAACCTATAAAAATACTGACTTCAAAAAACATCTTTGACAGAATCGCCTGTGGCATCATAGCTCGTTCCGCCGGCGTTTTTCAAAATCCTAAGCGTATATGCGCGTGCGACGGTGTTGTAGTTTGGGATGAGAAGGATCGTCCTCTAGCAGGGAAGGGCAGAAGAGAAGAGAAGCCAAAAAGAAGATGCTGTGAGAATCACAATAATAGCAATGTTGTCAACCCTTGTTGTAAGGTTTAGGGCGTATTTTAGCTCCCCCCACCAATTCCTCTCCTCTCTTAATTAAGTTTCCCTACTTGGGCAACTTCGGTTGAAGAATGAATTAAGATAAGCTAGGTTTTCGTTTAAGTGTGGGAGAGCCATGCTTCGGCACGAATGGTACGGCTGGACCGGTGTGATACGATGTCCTCATAGAAAACTGGCGTGAAATAACCACAGCGTTGTGTTTCGCAATGTATCTCTAAACTGGTAATTCCCAAATTACCGGCAATGACCTCGTGATTGCTCTGGTGTTGCGGGTGTCCTAGGCCGCCGCCGATCCGTATGCGAGTTTGCGGTCATATCACATAAAACAACGTGCGATAAAAACGGTGCGTTCAGCAACTGGCCTTTTCAGGGGTTGGTGGTAGCCCTCCCACCCCAAATAGGTCATATTCCCCCGAATATGGGCTCTTGGTATATGTATGTTTACTAGATGGCGCCAATATGGACCTCCAGTCTTTTTATCCAATAGGGAATTAGCTAGTGATTAGCTAGTGTCACAATTATAAATGTTTAATCTTTGACAGCTATAGACGAACGGACATCTTGATAGACTAGCGATATCTATTTATATTTATACCTATTACCTGTTGGTAAGCAATCAGCGCCCCACACCGAGGGCCAAGATCAACAACAAAGGATATTCAAGTCTATTAAAGCCCACAGCTTATGGATTTGAGGATTATGGAGATTAGGCGATTGGAGATAAGGGAACGGACTTTTGGGCCGTAAGTAACCCACAATCACAAATGAAACACAACACTTTGGTTGTTCACCGCCGGTTTTCTGTGAGGCCGTGGTATCACTCCGGTCGAGCCGACCCATTCATACAATTTAATTTTTATTTTATTTCTATAATTAAGTATATAATAGTGTTGTAATTTATACTGGAAGGTAATAATAAGTTATTTTTGCATTATTTTAAATAATAAATACAAGTTGTTATTGTTGAATTTTTTGTTTTATTTTATAGACAATTAGTGACCCGTCCCTGCTTTGCTCGGGTGCAATGCTGATACTCTCCACTATTTAATAGATGTTATCTATACTTATACTAATATTATAAAGAGGTAAAATTTGTGAGTTTGTATGTAGGGGGTAATCTTTGGAACCGGTGGTCCGATTGCCAAAATTCTTTCACTGATAGATAGCTACAATGTTCCTGAGTGCTATAGGCTATAAAATATTACGCTACAATGAAATGGAGCCAAGCAGCGAATTAAACCGCGCGGGAGTGGATATATAAACCTTCCTCTTCAATCACTCTGTCTATTAAAAAACGTAGTTTTAAAGATTTAAGCTTACTTACATAGGGATATTGGTAGGTCAAAAGGTTAAGGCGTCCGTTTGTCATGAATGAGGGTGCGGGCGAAACCTGGCATGTCATGTACCAATGTGACTTTTTCCGAGTTATATGCACTTTCTATGATTATTTAGACACTACTGGCGTACGGTGAAGGAAAACATCGTGAGGAAACCTGGACTTTTAATTTCTAATTATAAGTTTGAAACCGCTAATCCGCCTTGAGTAAGCACTGTGGTTAACGCTCAAACGTTCTCCGCATGAGAAGAGGCCTTTGCTCAGCAGTGGACACTTATAGGCTGATGATGATGGTTACAAAATATTGGTTTTTTTATATCGAAATTATTATGATTTATAAATAAATAAAATCTTACCCCCGAAAATAGCAAGCTGCAAGCAACTCTACAAATATTATAAGCGCCTGTAAGAACGGATGGATGTTTGTTATTCTCTCACATAGGCTTTTTTTTTTGAGAGGAAAATCATGACGTCTCCCGCCCAGGGCCGGGCGGGAGGGAGTGTCAGACTCTTACTTCCTCTTTAGTTCTTTTCTTTCTCTTAGTTCTCGGGGCCGAGGTCGCGGTGCCTCATTGCGCTTACCCCGCACCCCCGGCTGACCATCAGCCCTATAGGGCCCCGTCTGTGGTGGTCTATTGGCTCTTTGAGGCGCGCGCGGAACGCTACGCGCCGTACGCTCGGGTCTGACTCTCTCACTAGATACTGAACAGATCTTTTTTTTTTTTTTTTTTGTCAGAGGAAAATCATCCAATGACTTCTCCCGCCCAGGGTAAGGCGAGAGAGAGTGTCAGACTCTTACTGACTAAAAACCCCCCCGTTCCTTCTCCTGCTCTGGGCCGAGGTCGCGGTGCCTCATTGCGCTTACCCCGCAGCCCCGGCTAAACATCAGCCCTTTAGGGCCCCGACTGTGGTGGTCTATTGGCTCTTTGAGGCGCGCGCGGAACGGTTAACGCCGTACGCTCGGGTCCGGTTCTGGTCGGGCGGCGAGCTACCCTTACTCGCCGTCCGCAGACCCGCGCTTACGGTGGCCGGAGATCATCTCTCGATCCCCGACGTCCGGAATGTCGCCTTCTGCGGCGGCTGGGGCGCGAGGAGGATAGTTCCCTCACGCGCTCCGCCTCCTCCTTTGCGAGCATAACTGCTTCGCAGAAGGAAGAGATAGCTTCCCAGTTCCTCTCACGCTGCACCATGGCCTCGAGCATGCACTTCCCTGAGAACACGGCGGTGCTCAGCCCAAGCAGGGCACTCCGCCACCGTATGCTCCACCGTGTCCTCCAGGTGATCCGCACAATGACGACACTCGGGCGTTTCCTCCCGCTGGATCCGAAACAGGAACCTACCAAAGCTGCCGTGCCCGGTAAGCACCTGCGTCAGGCGGAAGGTGAGGACGCCGTGGCGTCTCTCAAGCCACTTCTCAAAGAGGGGTCTTACCGCTGCTAATACTGAACAGATCTGAAGTTTAATTTAGCACAGAGATAGATGATAGTCTGGAATAACTAACTACTTATAACTGTGACTGCACAGCTGGCGTGGTGCGTGTCGCGGGTTCATTTCCCTCACAGAACAACTCTTTGTGTGATCCACAAATTGGTGTTCCGGGTCTGGGTGTGATGTGTATGTGAAATTGTATGTTTGTGAATGCATCCACGACACAGGAGAAAAGCCTAGTGTGCGGCAGAATTTAAAATAAGTGCTTACGGAGTTCCGCTATCACCGTCTATCTTGGAACTCTGTGAGGAACCACGGCCAAGGTCATCCTTGCTTTCAGTGACAGCCACCGATCACCCATACGATACCACATGATATCCTATACCTGAAATCCTTCCCCTTCCCAATCCCTCCCCAGTTCCTAAATCTCTAAATCCCTAATCCCTAAAAGGTCGGCAACGCACTCGTTACTCCTCCGTTACGGGTGTCCATGGACGGCGCTGATTGCTTACCATCAGGTAATCCGTCTGCTCGTTTGCCGACCTATTACATTTAAAAAAAAATGGTTTAGTCATTTATACCTAAGTGAGAGACCCAAGCTTTCAGCACGAGTGGATCGGCTCGACCGGAAACATACCACGGCCTCACAGAAAACGGGTGTGAAACAAAAAACGTAAAAAAATTTATGACTCACAACACAGCATAAAATATTATAATAACGTGGCCAACGTTTCATTTAAAAAAACTCAAGGGCTACCTTCTTCTTGACTACTTCTAAAACTAGTAGATACTGTGGGCGAAGTCGGTAGTAGAAACTTTTTCATATACTTAGAATAATGGGCTGCCGTTTGACCTTTATCTCGGCTGGTGGTAAGCGGTGATGCGACCTAAGATGGATCACGCCTACCCATAAGCAACCTATTCAAATAGTTAGACACGTTTCACCAGTTTTGATCTACCATGGCGTGTTTCACACTTAAATCGGGACGGAGCTATTGGCGCTGCAAAGATTCTAACTAGCGCCTCTGGTGTCAAAATTGTGAAGCTGTCTAGAAACGGAAACGAGAACGGAACGGCACTTTGAAAGTTTTCCTAACAATAATTAACGTCAGGGAAAAAATAATAATCAGGAATGTAACATTTTGCTGTTTAAGGGCTGATTTTTCAATAGTCAGATATTTTATCTGAGGAATAAAATTGTTGCTGTCACTGTCTTATACATACAAACATTGTGACGCGACAGCATCGTTGTTTTTTACCCGACTGCCAAAGAAGGAGGGTAATGTTTTTCGAGTGTATGTAAGTATGTATGTATGTCTTTTCCTTTGTGACCTCCTGTAGCCTAAACGGCTTGATGGATTTTGATGTATGAGGTATCGTTAGATTTGTCTTGATTACGGGAGTGTCATAGGATACATTTTATCCTAAAAGTCCCACGGGATAAAGACATAATAATATTTTTTCTAAATTTCCCTTTAAAAAAATATGTATGCGGTATCATTAGATTCATTTCAATCACGGGAGTAACGTTAAATAAAAACAGCTAAAAAGTTATAAATAAAAAAATTATTATTAAAAAAACAAAATACCCGACTGCACACTAAAAAAAGAATAAAACAAGCCCCACAATACAAATTTACTGAATATAATTTATAAATGTTGATGGAAAGCATCGCAGGCGGGGACCACCTTGACCGCCACCAACGAAAATTCTGCTAAATGGTGCACAACAGAAATGACTATAAATAAGCCTCTGTTGGTCCCCGCCTGCGATGCTTTCCATCAACATTTATAAATTATATTCAGTAAATTTGTATTGTGGGGCTTGTTTTACTCTTTTTTTAGTGTGCAGTCGGGTATTTTGTTTTTTTAATAATAATTTTTTTATCTACAGGTAACTTTTATCTAACCATTGAAAAATAAGCCCTAAGACAATAATTATGCTGTTAATAGTCGATGTTTCTAAAAGTTCTATTGAATGAATACAATTCTTAAATCAGTCTTCTATTTTTTCTTCATAATTGTGTCTTTTTAGAATAAATGAAAACTTTTTCCCGTATCTCCGTAATCACTACCTTCATTGAGGAACGCAACATTATTTCGTATTTCTGCTTTTATTAGCAACAGGTTTTCGTTTAGAATCGTGATGGATCCATCTGAATAATCTAACATAACTTCAATAAATAAACAAAGTGTCTGTCAAATCTTAAGCCCGCAGTACACATTGGCCCAAGGTATTGGACCAACCTATTGGTCCAACGTGTAGAGGGATTCTTGGCGATATGTTGGTAGCGGTGTTCCGGTTGGCGCCTACATTGGCGAGCAAACTGAAAGTTGTCGGTTTTTGTCCACACATCAAAGGATCTTGGCGCGCCGCCGCTACCAACATACCGCCAAGTAGCGCTCTACACGTTGGGCCAATAGGTTGGCCCAATACGTTGGGCCATGTGTACTGTGTATGTGTGGCTTTAGATAGTTTTTTTTTACTTTATATAAACTAGTGCTTGACTGCAATCCCACCTGATGGTAAGCAATGATGCATTCATTGATGGTAAGGCGCACTAGTTTATTAATAGTTTTTAAATTTCGCCGCTAGAGGCGTGCGGATAATCGACAATAAAAGGTGTATACCATTTATTATGTTCCATGTCTCTTTCTCGCTCGGAGATTCACGCCTCAACACGTCATGGTATATCCTCTGATCTCTTGAATAAAAGTGCACTGTTTGTGAAGATGATTATTATGGTGTTTTTATGGGATAGGTCAAGAATGACATTATGTTATTTTTACATTGTCTGGACTTAAATAGAGGCTGACCTCTGAGTTTGTTTCGGTATTTCTCCTCAGTGTAGTCAGATAGGCAATGCCGACTTCATTTAGTTTTTCTTCACATATAAATTGACGTGTAAATGTGCCGTTTTATGGCCTATTTTTAAAAATAAATTCATTGTTTCAATCAAGGAGGCAGATTACCTGATGGTAAGCAATCGATGCCGCTCACGGACAAACAACCACAGCGTTGTGTTCCGCCGTGTGATTGTGATTACCAGAGGCCCAATCCTTCCCCTCTCCAATCCCAAATCCCCAAAAGGTCGGCAAAAGCAACACTTGGTATTTCCTTCGTTGTTGCGGTCGACCATGGGCGATGATCATTGCTTATCATCAGGTAATCCGTCTGCTCATTTGCCGAACTATCACATGAAAATACGAATATAGAAATAAAACTTCAAAATTTTAATTTAACATGATATTTATTTGTGTAGGTATATAAATACCATTATAATTGTTAGTTTTACTTACATAGGGTAATCTTTTTATATATAAAAATGGATCGCAAAATGTGTTGGTAAGCGCATAACTCAACAACGCCTGGACCAATTTTACTAATTCTTTTTTTGTTGTGTCTGTTTTTGTAAGGAGAAGGTTCTTATCAAATAAAATATTAGAAAAGTAGAGGGGAAGGTTAGGAAAAAGCGACACTTTGATAGCGAGATAGTTGGACCCTTGCGAAGCGGGGGCGGGCCGCTATTGTTTGAGATTTTCTCTTTTTTTTGAGGATGAAAAATCATTAAATAGCTTCTCTCGTCCAGGGTAAAGCGAGAAAGAGAGTGTCAGACTCTTACTGACTATATAGTCTATCAGTTTAGTAGGTTAACTAAAGGTAAACAATGTTGGTATGTCTCTTTATATTAAAAAGCTCGTATAAAGTACATACAGAGATTATTTAAATTCAGTTTATTAGCTAACATTGATTTAGGTAAATAGCTGATTGTAAACAATTATTAGACAACTTTTCTTTTTAAAAAAAAAAACGTTGCCCCACATTAGAATTTTCTCCTGTGTCGTGGGTGCTGTTAAAAACATACAATTTCACATACACAGAACACCCAGACCCGGAACAACAATTTGTGGATCACACAAAGTGTTGTTCCGTGCCGGAATCGAACCCGCGACACGTTGCACGGCAGCCAGTTGCCCAGCCACCGCACCAACCGTGTAGTCTTTTTGACAATAAGGGCTAATTTTCCAATAGTCAAATAAATGTTATCTGAGGAATAAAATTGTTGCTGTCTCTGTCTTATACAAACATTGTGACGCGACAGCATCATAATTATTCGTCAGGTAACTTTTATCTAACCATTGAAAACATCGTGAGGAAACCTGGACTTATAATTTCTAATTATGAGTTTGACATCGCGAATCCGCCTAGAAGCATGGTGGTGCTCAAACCTTCTCCGTGTGAGAAGAGGCCTTTGCTC